AAGGGAAGAATGTTTGCTTTGATGTGTCTCATTGTAATAACATAACTTTTCCGATTGCTTAAAATTTGTATCATTTTAATTCTCTGTAATCACAAATTTATTTCAGCTCTACTTAAAAACCCAAATGCCGTCCCGTCCCCCCCCCCCTCACCCACCGCGCCGAGGGAAAAAAAATCCCTTGAATCATCATTTAATTACACATTTGCATTTTCAGGTTGGTTTTTTTATTATTTTTTTATATTTAGACGTTTTGTATTAGATCTATGTATAAGTAAATCATCTTAAATGAATGAAAGTAGGCTACAAGTAAGAAAGAAATATTAATATTGTAAATCTGTATCAGTCCTCACAAGCCGATGATGAAAACTGTAATACTAAAGCGAACACACAACTGACGCTGTAAATTACATGTCTGAGGAAAAAAAAAATACCAAGTGTAGAAAAAGTCTTGTAATAGTGAAAAAAAAATCGAGATTTTTGCAAATCTCGACGTTTTACACCTCACTGATACGGAAAATCATAATTTTGCAATCTTGTCCGTATGTCTGTGTGTCTGTAAACACGATAACTTGAGTACCGTTACAGCTAGGTTGATGAAATTTCATATATAAGTATTTTATATATAAGTATTTTAACAAAATCGTAGATCCGATTTTGAAATTTTCAAAAGCCTATAACTTGAGTACTATTTCAGATAGATAAATAAAATTGCACATGTAAGTAAAAGATCTAATTCTCTACCATCTTTCAAAGTTTGAGTAATTTCCGTTTGACCGGAAGTCGTAATTTACGCTATTTCCAATTTCTCAAAAACGCATGTAAATTTATAAAGTACTAATAATATTGCGCACTATTATGCACATCTTTATTTGGCGTTCACTAGGTGTGCAATTCTTTTTTCTACGAGATTTTATTCTATTTTAAAAAGTTTAAGTATTTAAAATGGATTAAAAATCATGTCTATATCCCGAGTTCCCATCCTTTGTTGTTTTATATAAGAATATTAAGAAAGTTTAGGGGCGATCACTCCCGGTATATTTATATAAGAATATTCGAGAAAGTTTAGGGGAGATCACTCCCGGTTTATTTAAAGTTATGACAGTCGCTTTGAATTTTTCAAGAGTTTATATTAATTATATATATAATTATTATAACAATTAAAAGTCATAAATTAAAACTGTATACATCTAAAAACTAAGACAGTTGTTTAAATTTTCAACTCTACCCGAGTTTTCAATAACTGGCGCTGAAAATCGTGTTATTAAAGAACTTTTCTTCTAATTGCATGCATCTTACCTGTGTTTTATTTTTGTTTATTGGACGGCGTAGCTCAGTGGTAGATCGCTGAACTGCTAACCCAAAAGTTGGGGGAAGTAAATGCGGCTGGGCATAGTACTGACCACACTGTCCCTTCATATGCTGAGGTCACAGAAACAGGCAAACTCTACTTCACTTGCCCCATGGGCCCTCAGGTTTGAAAAGGGAACTTTCCGTCGTCTTTTGTCACCGTCTGTCATTGGTGGAAACTTGCGGACGAAATCTCACCCACTTCTACAAAACACACTAAACAGACAGCTCTACATGTACATACATATAATTATAAAATTATGTATGCGCTTAACATAACTTGAATAATTGATAGGTTCAAAACTACAGGTTAGACAAACCCAACAACACAGTCTTTTCAATGAACTTCGGTCAGATGGCATTCATCATAATGTTTAATTAATAAACTTTTTAGAATATTCTATTTTTACTCTCGCCGTGATGAAAAAAACAAACAATTGGCGCCATTTTGAATTTGTGGCGGGGGTGATCCCGACCTTGGGACATAATTGAGTAATTAGCAAGTTCATTAAAACTACATTTTAAAATCATCTAATATTTCTTTAGGCCCAACTCATTTTGACACACACTTTAAATTTAAAGTGTCAAATTAGTAATTTCTTATTTCTATCAGGGGTCGTCCATAATTGCTACCGTTCTATATGGGAAGGGGGGGGGGAATGGCCCGTGGGGAGGGGAGTGTAACCGGATTTATTTCGGGGCAGTGTTATAAGTATTTTCGTTGTTATTTTCAGCTATAACTGTCGGTTTTTTTCCCATTGAAAACTTGACTAAATACTAATACTGCTAAAACGTGACTGATTGTGAAGTTATTTCAATGCCGTCAAATAAAATAGAATGAAAGCAATAGTTTACAGATTCGATTAATACACGAAACACAAGTGGCGTCGTATTTCTACAAGTAGAATCACAGCAACGCTCTACTTATCCTGTCAACAAGTACGTTATTTTTATTTTTGTCTTCTACTACATACGGCCTTCAACCACGTCCACATTTTGTATGTGTGTAAGTGTGTGTGTGTGTAAAAGTGTGTGTGTAGGTATGTGTGTGTGCACATTGGGGCGGGGCAGTGTGTGGTGGGGGCTGTATGCATGTGAAGGTATGGGGTGATGGTAACGACCCCCCCCCCCTATAAAAGCAGTTACAAAGTTCACTTGTAGGCCTTCCGCTTTTTATGACGCAAATTTGAACATAATTGGTAGTAGGACAGGAGACAATTTAGAAATTAGGAAATAACCATTGGTCAAGCAGAACCAAGAAGTAAAAACCAATCAAATAGCCCGACCAATAAAAACGAGATGACAGGTCACGTGTGAATGCCTGTTGGTTAGTGAAACGTTAGCGGTAGCGGGGGGTTGGCGGTAGACTTTATTCGGGGGGGGGGGGGGGGCGGGGAACAGAGTAGTGATAGAAAGTTATAATCGGACAGTTAGATAATATAAGTAGTGTAGGGTAGTAGACGACAGTAAGGCTAGGATTAGCAGAAATTCATATGTGTATATAAATAAATAATCTTCAATATTTTTTTTTACTTGAAACTGTGTCATTTATTGTAAATTACATGCACATTCACACTAGACACCTGTCAGTCATAAGAAAGTAGATCCCCCAAGATAATTAAAACAGTTCTAAATTAATCTCTTCTCCCTACACACCAGCCCCATCTTTTACCAATCATGCGTTCGCCTAGGATCAAATGAAAAAAAATCTAATAACTTTATTGTGTACTCGTCTAGTTGAAGAGAGTCTAAAGAAGAGTATTAAAAAACTAAAAACGTTTCTGAAAAACGAAATTAAAAATCGGTGACTACAAAAAAAAAAAATATATATATAACAGGCTCGGACCATTATTATAGTACACTTGATTTTTTTAATAAAGTTAATTAACAAATCGGATTAATTTTCTAACATAATAAAACCAATTTTTTAACTTTCTCAATTCATTATTTCCTGTTTTAATTAAATAAAAAAAAAAACAAGTTTAGTTAGTGAGTTTTATTTGACATTTTGTTGGCATAAAAAAAAACGTATTCAAAGATAATTAGACAAAAACGGAGGGTCGTTATCTGCTCCATAGTGTCTGTGGTTTTGAAAGGCGGTGATTATACTCTGGTAATTAAAGGAAAGTCATATGAACTGGTATAAAAAGAATATGGTATAAAATGGTACTAAAGCAACATGGTGGTCAGGGAGGGGTCGGCGTGGTCTAGATGTAGAAAGCGATGTTAAAACTCGAAAGCCGCGAGTTCGGTTCCCGTGATCAATATCGTAGATTGTCGTTTAACTGTACTGCGCTTTACATCCAGCAGACCTGGAAGGGGGTGGGGGGGGGGGGGGGGGGGTTGGGTGAGATGTAATGGTAAGGAATATTTTAAGAACTGGTCGGTAGTGAACATAATAGGAACATACGACAGAGCATAGTTTTGGCCCATCATTTACTACTATACTTCTCATGCACATGGGATATATATTTAAGAGCATTACCTAAATGATGATTAAGCATACCTTGGTGGGTTTAGTCACGTGATGGCCGTAGGGGGGTAGTCACGTGATGACCGTAGTGGGACAGGTCACGTGATAGCCGTAATGTGGGGCTAGTCACATGATAGCCGTAATGCCAAGCGTGGCAGATATATTTTCTGCAACAAATGGGTGTGTTTACATATAAAGAGATTGAGCATGTCACGGGAACAGCTTAGAGGGGCGGAATACACGTTTGGTGGGTGTGTCTAAAGAGAAATTTGACTGGTAAATACAAGTCTATGGGCGTGTCCAAATGCTGATTCCATTGGCCTTTTATAAATACCATTATGGTTGGCATATCTAAATACCAATATGATTGGCATATCTAAATACCATTATGATTGGCATATATAAATACCAATATGATTGGCATTTTTCTAAATACAAATATGATTGGCATATCTAAATACCATTATGATTGGCATATATAAATACCAATATGATTGGCATTTCTAAATACCAATATGGTTGGCATATCTAAATACCAATATGCTTGGCATATCTAAATACCAAAATGATTGGCATATCTAAATACCAATATAATTGGCGTATCTAAATACCAATATGATTGGCATATCTAAATACCAATATGGTTGGCATATCTAAATACCAATATGATTGGTATATCTAAATACCAATATGATTGGCGTGTCTAAATACCAATATGATTGGCATATCTAAATACCAATATGCTTGGCATATCTAAATACCAATATGATTGGCGTGTCTAAATCTAAGTTGGGTGGTTGTAGCTTAATACCAGATTCACCTCTAATACCGGGGAGACAGAATAATAACTAATTAAGTTTCCGAATTTACTTTAACGGGCCTATTTTAACCTGAGTTATTTTAACCCGAGCTCTATATAAACAGGTGTGTTGAGTACTTAAAATAAACACAGCCGAGAGATTCGGCGCTCACGTTGGTGACGAGATAATGACGTGAGTAAACATGGGACACACGTGCAATCTACCTCCATTTGGATAATTGCCGTTACTCACACACAGGCGCACTACTAATCAGCACTTGGGCCAATTAGATAATTACACCCTGGCTGGTTTGATTGGCACACGTCTGCAGGCTCTGAGCCCACTTCCGGTGCGGCCATATTTAAAAAAAAGAGACGAAACTGGGTCTGGTGTTCATGCGGCAAGTGGTATGTCAACATGGAGGTTTATCAAAAAACCAATTTTACGAGGATTTTTTTTCCTTATGTGTCTGTGGGATGGTGTGTAAACTCGTGTTGTGTGCCGTGTGTTATGTTGGTGTGTAGGGCAAAGTTTAAAAGTTGCGCGTAGGTTGAAGTTTAAAGGTCAAGTTCACGATTACTAACGAAACGAGTCTATAGTCTATTCTTTTTGGTTGTTGAGGTAGGGAAATGTTTACCCTCAAAGTTGGCCGGTAGACCTCCCCCCCTCTCTCTCTATCACACACACACACACACATGCACACACACACACACACATACGCGCGCGCGCACGCACACAACGTGGGCATATTTGGATCTCTGATTTAGCTGAGCTCACCCGGTTCTAATACGTATCCGGCATACGTTGGGGATGCATGATGCTTGGGTTCAAAACCCCGTTTTATGAAGTGGTTGTAGAAACGAATACGACCCTGTTGTTACTAGATATATGTTAGATGTTTTAATCCACAGAATTTGGCATGTGGTGGAGGTACTAATATCGACACGCCAACTCTAGATTTAAACGATGTGTTAAATAGTTACAAAACAGTTTATTCTTCACAAATCTAGCCCAGAATCGTCCGGATGTTTTAAAAGTCGAAACAATTAGAAGGACGAAAAGATAAAAATGCGAATCAGCGTTGATAAGTGTACTAAGACTAGTACGGGGGCGGACCTAAATTCCTGCCCGGCGCGTTGACCTTCCTACTCGGCGCGATAATATTCCGACTCGGCGCGTCTGGAATTGGTCTGTTGGGAAATCGGGCAGGCTTGTTATAACCTTTATAAAAAAAACTTTTTTTAAACAATCTAATAAAGTAATTTCGGCTTATCGTTGGGGGTTTCTGGAATGTTATAAATGCTGTAATGAGGTGCTAAGTGAAACGATGCTAGTATTTATTTTATGTCGTGTTGAGTGCTAATGTGTGTGTACGAGTAAAGTAACGTAATAGTTATAAAGCTCTATAACAGCAACGTTGACATTGATAAAGTGAATCCTAATATAAAAGTTGACATTGACAAAGTGAATCCTAATATAAAAGTTGACATTGAAAAAGTGAATCCTAATATAAAAGTTGACATTGACAAAGTGAATCCTAATATAAAAGTTGACATTGACAAAGTGAATCCTAATATAAAAGTTGACATTGACAAAGTGAATCCTAATATAAAAGTTGACATTGGCAAAGTGAATCCTAATATAAAAGTTGACATTGACAAAGTGAATCCTAATATAAAAGTTGACATTGATAGTACCCACGTGACCAGTCCCACTACGGCCATCACGTGACTAACAACACAACGGTCATCACGTGACTCCACCCACTAAGACTAACAACGTGACCAACCCACACTCTAGCCACCAGGCGACTAAACCCACATGACGGCCATCACGTGATTAACCCCCTCCGAACACCGCCTTCTTCGGAAACAACTCACAACAATGAAACTGTCATACAAGTAGGAAATAATTCCAGCCTTCAAATCTTGAAGCGATTGAACGATCGATCTTTGAACTTCGAGTCTTTGTCCAGATATTTTCTGTCAACTTCTCCTTTGAAAAGGTCTGCTGAATTTGGCTTCTGTCTTTAACTTACGCAACTTCAAATAGCAACAAATCACCCCCCACCCCCTCCCGCCCCAACCTAATAGTGATAAAACAATTTTTTAAAGTAAGAAAGTAGTACTTTTTAGGTTTAAATAATAATAAAAAATTTGAAAAGTATATTTTGATATCTATTTTATTCCGTTAATCTATGATAAAATTAATATTATGTCACGCGTTGTTTAAAATCGAACAAAAGCTATTAGTATTTGCAAATGTTATGTTAGCTTTTGTTTAATTCAGGCCAAACACTGGTGTTACAAGCCAAAGTGGGGCTGATTGGGTAGTTACCTAAACTGCTGATTAGTAATTAGTGGAAGATAACAATACATCTGTAGGTTGACTTCATGATTAATTAAGTTTAATAAATATTAGATCATTAAATGGTGTCAGTCCTCTAGCTGTTAAATAAAATAGATCACTTAACAACTCAGTTCTTGTAGTCTAGTAGACTAGAATAATGATGTAGGAGAAATATCTAATTATTCTAGAGAACATACACATTTTAATACTTTTTTTTTTACTTTTCTAGCTCCACTCTTCATAAACCTACACATCCACCCTTCATAAACCTACACATCCACCCTTCATAAACCTACACATCCACCCTTCATAAACCTACACATCCACCCTTCATAAACCTACACATCCACCCTTCATAAACCTACACATCCACCCATCATAAACCTACACATCCACCCATCATAAACCTACACATCCACCCATCATAAACCTACACATCCACCTTTCCACCCATCATACCCCTCCAACAAATCTACTACATTCATCCGTGTTTCATTTCTCTTCCTAGCCCTCTTATAAACCTTATATCCCCCCTCCAAACCCCCCCCCTACCCAAGACCCCCCCCCCCCCGAAGACCCCCCCCCACCCCCCACCTTCACACTCCCCAATATCTACCCCCCCCCCCCCCCCAACTTTGAGTCCACGGTTCGCCTTGAGCATGCCATCACACGACGTTTGTTCCCTTCATCCACCCAATTGCACATCTACGACAGCGGCTAATGGACGAGCATAGGGGACGTCACTCATCTGAAATTTCAATTAGACACCGCGAGTGGTCGCCCCTGTCCGAGTTATTCCCACATCCGGGGGCCTCGCTGACAAGGCAATACAAAACTTAACAATCTACTTCATGCGTTTGTTACAGGCAATCTATCCTCATATTCCTCAATCATCTTCTGGGATAGAGGAGGGAAAAAAAGATAAATGATCCGGTACAAGGTCTACGTCAGTAAAGTTTTAAGACGTATGTCCTGTGGGGGGGGGGGGGGGGGGGGTGGCATCAAGAATAGGCATCAAATAAGAGCAGATGTTTGAGCAGCATTTTGTTCATTGCGAAAAACAAAAGTGTGTTATAAAAGGGAAGCATCACAATCTTTGGCTCTAGTCATTCTACCGCAATGGTTTACCAACTTTTTGACACTGCGCCTACCCCTAAACACCCAACACAATTAACACCCCACAAAACCGCATACCACTTATATATATATATTACTGAACATATATATATAGATCTATATATATATATATATATATATATATATATATATATATATATATATATATATATATATATACATACACGTATAAAGGACTGTTAATTTATCGAAAAAATGAATGTTTTCTAAACGAGGTTAATAGGTCTGTCATCTGGCTTAGTAGTAAAATAAAAATAGTGTATTTATAATTAGACCCCGACAGCATTTCATATAGCTAATAGTTTTTCATTTTAACTAATGTAAAATGATAATCCTAATCTCCAAGTAGTATAAAAAATAAGCATTAGTTTATTTAAGACTAAACAAAATATAAAAAGTGAGGAAAGTTTCTTTTGTTTGTTTTGTTAAAATTGTATTATTCTGTAATTTTAATATTTTTGAATTGTGTAATAGGTTATCTCCCTTAATAATTTTGAAAAAGTACAGGAAGAAACAAACACCTTCAATGTTTGTCACTGTGAACCAATTTAAACAATCTTACAAGTTACAAGCTTTTACTTAAACGTCCCGTTTGTTTGCTTGTTTCTGGGTTTGTTGCAAACCTTGTTGCTCAATTTTGATTAATGCACAGATACTTTTTTCTTCGTGGACGATGCATAAATATCTATTTTTTAATCTTAATAGAATATAAATATACATTATATAGATAAGTCATTACAATTTTAGTGAAAGATCACTTAATCTATATATATAATTATCTTCTTGGAGACGTAAGAAAACAAGCTGTAAGCGCGCCTAGCAGTCCCCTCTCTTCCTCTCTAGGCATATCGCAACTACCCTCACCCCACATGGTCTGGTGAGCTGTGGTTCACGCTAAATGGTTTACAGTCGTAGAGCCGGGTTAAGGAGGGTTTTAGTGTTTTAAAGCACATTTTTTTCAGTGACAGCAATGTACTGTCGAATTCACAAATTATGAATTACTGAAAAGTAGAAAATAAAACTAAATAGCGGCGTGTGATACGCCGCGGGTCGGCTCGTTCAATAATAAAACAGGATATAACTAGCTAGACCCTATCACCCGATCTGTCTGCTGAGCTGTGGCTCACGCTGAAAGTTTGGTCACGGTTGGTTGCATGAGCTTCGACCTGAACTCAGGGGCAGATAACTGTCTTTTAGAGCTACCAGAGCAAACATTTTAGTCGTAGCATATGTAGTGTCATCTCCATCTAGAAAAAAAATAACACGCCTTTGAATGCTCTGAAAATAAGAAAATGTTTTTTTCTTAAATTAAAGTTTTGATCGCTACAGTATGTAAGAAATCTCATGAGCGACCAAACTTATTCTTTATTGAAAATTAATTATCGATTATTAAAATGACAGTGGCATTTTAAAAAATAAATTATTTTCACAGCAGAATAATGTGTCTTAACATATAGGTCTAAAGTTTCTACGTCAACCGGATAATGACGGTATAAATAAATTATCGAAATAAACAAAGTTTACCAAAAACGTAAATCTCTTCTATAATTATAATATACGAGCCGACCCGCAGCGTATCATACGCCGCTATTTAGTTGTTTTATTTTCTACTTTTCAGTAATTCATAATTTGTAAATTCGACAGTACCAATGCTGCCACTGACAATATTTGCTTTAAAACACTAACCACCCCCACTTTCCCCTAACCCCGACCCTACACCCCCCCCCCCCCCCCCGTGAAAGCAGCCTCCTCTTAGTTATTTCTTAGTTACCTCCTGTAAGTTTAAAATCGAACTAAATTATCTGCCCCTAATAGTAACCCGGCTGTACGGCTCTTTGATTTGTAAACATTTAGCTTTGTACAAATTTAGAGTGAACACCGCTCACCAGACAATGTTGGGGTGGGGTGGGGGGTGGTAGTGATAGTGATAGAGAGAAAGAGAGGGGACTGCAAGGAGGCGCTTGCAGCTTGTTTTCTAACTGATCCCAGAAGAGAATTATATATATAGATAATCTTAGAGTTCAAACACTAAGCTTCTGCATTATATATCGTCACCATACTTTACAACAGTAGTGTTTCTTCCAGACTTTTTTCTCCGGGGGGGGGGGGGGGAGGCAGGGGGGTACTTGATATTTTCGGAGTGGGGGTGGGCTAATTTTTCAGGGGGGGGGGGGCGGACACTGGTAAAAGTATATATTTTCTATACAAATTTCCATTTCGTTGGGGGGGGTGGGGGGGGGGGGGGGGTAGACTTTTTTCGGGGGTGGGTTCCACGCCGACCTGCCTTGATATTGAAAATTTGCTTATTATTGACCTCCCTACTAAAACTTGACGGATTTTTAAAAAAAAATTATGTGCGAGTATTTTTTTTTTTTTTACTCAACAAATATTCACTTCTTTCTCCTCAGATACCAACAAATATGCACAAATTACTGATAGTCTCAGTGCTGATTGTCGCCCTTGCCGTCCTGGACGTGACGTGTACGGAGTCCATGCTGACGCCCCCTGAGAGACCAGAGGAGTTCAAGAACCCCGCAGAACTCAGGCGGTACCTGAAGGCACTCAATGAATACTACGCCATCGTTGGACGGCCAAGGTAACACTGGGGTTAGCCGTACACCGGGGCGTTTAGATTTGTATACAATCGCTTTTAGTCCGGAAGCAAGGATATATATTTTTCTGGGTCTGAAATTGCTCCTGCTTGTCAATATTCGGGGACGCTGCGATTCAGTGGTAGAGCACAATAGACCGGTTCACAAATACCAGTCAATGAGCAATTTTAAAAAAACGACCAACCATCAAACTCAGGGGGGGGGGGGGGGGGGGGGGATCTGCCTCGAGACCTTAGTCCACCAGATGTGATTGGCGGGGAGGGAGGATATTTGATCTTCTTGGTTTCAAGAAGTCTAGCTTAAGTTGCTCAACCTTATTTACGGATGACACCAATTAAAAAAATAAACAACCGACGGATAACTGCAGAAGCGTTAAGCAAAAAACTGATAATTAACACATTCCTAATTTTTTTTCAGGTTCGGTAAAAGAAATGGCGGCTCCAGGTTAAACGATATTATTCGACCCAACGGTGCGTGCTTTTAACACTTCTTATTTATATTACATCCAATCATCAATTACATTTTAAAATTGTTTCATCAGTTCATTCGTCATTTTCGTGCTATATTGAGCAATCAAGGGAAATAATCAGTTAAAAAAAATATTTCGAGTTTTATTTAGACTAGCCTCCCTTTAATTTTTAACTCATTTGTTTTAGGTGACGACTGGGACTACAACAGTGCTTCATGGGGAGACTTTTAAATAGGCCAGGAGACTTTTAACTAGGTCACCAACAGCGTCACCTGTCTGCCTAAAGTCTGTTTTGTAGTTCTTATTTTTAAGAGGAAAAAAAAATTGTTCAAAAATTTCAAACTTCTCTTTTTTTTTTCGATCTGATTAAATGTTTAAAACAATAAAAATAATCTCTATTTAATCCATTGTTTAAGCTATTACCTTTTATTAGTTGTTTTAGTTTTGTTGCGAGAAAGTAGCAGTTTAATCGAATACATTGCATTGAACACATACTATTCACGTGATAAAAAGAAAACATTCCATTTAATTGCAATGTGTAAAAGTATGACCACCTACGTTTCATGTGATTTATGATAAAAAGCAAACAAATTTAGTTGCAGTGTGTAAAACTATGACCACCTACGATTCATGTGATAAAAACCAAACATTTCATTTCGTTTGTAAATTCTGCTACACGGACCTTACACAAAAAATGTCAAGCTTGACCACCTGGACACCACAATATAGGTCAAAGGCTCACAATACCATATCTGCCTCAAGGACACAATACTAGAGTTCAAGGGGTAGAATAACCTATGGAAACCACTCAGAGACGTAGCGACCCTTCCCGGGGACAAACTTTCGATTTTGCACCTCCCCCTCAAGATTTCTATTTGCATCCCCCCCTCAAGATTTTGATTTGCAGCCACCCTCAATTTTTCGATTTGCACCCCCCCCTCAAGCTTTCAATTTATTTTTCCAACCCATTTTGGCGCCCCCTAAGGTCGGCTCCCAGGGACATATGCCCCCCCCACCCCCCCTCGCTACGCCTCTGAAACCACTCTACATGGGGTAGAACAACCCACACTGCAAAAGTCAAACAGCTTATCTGTATGGAGAAGGAATCGCGTGCTATCATTGCCATTAAGGCGAGGATTGACCAGGCTTCACCCTAGGTCTTCACATTTTTTTAGCACCCCCCCCCCCCACCCCAAAATTTATTTTTATAAACGACAGTAAAATATATTTTTATATTGACTTTTTAAAAAAATTCCCCCAAATAAAATATTTTTCCCCCTCATCAGGTGACTTTGCTTCCTCTGGCATTGATTAGATTAAGCGAATGTTTCTAAACTAAAAATTACAGATATTATTTTAATGACATACAAATGTATAAGTAAACCATCTTAAATGAATAAAAGTACGTGTCAGAAAGAAGTATTACCATTGTAAATCTGTATTAGCTGTTACAAGTGATACTGCCATTTAAAGAAAATATACTAGGCAAATCTCATCCCCAGTGGCGTAGCGAGGTCGGGTGTCACCCGGTGCGGCACTTAATGATGTCAACCCCCCCCCCCCCCCCAGAGGCGTAGCGACCCTTCCCGGGGACAAATTTTTGACGTACGTAACGTAAATGGTGTCAAATTGTTAACGCCAACCTCATGTCATTGATGAAATGGGGCGGGGGGTGCGGACCGCACCGGGTGACACCATTTAGGGGGGTGACACCAAGGCAAAAAATAGCAAAATATATAGAGTCAGCAAAGCTCATGGTTGATAAATTCAAAAAAAAGTCTGAGTTCAAACCCTCTGGCAGATAAGGCTCGATCCCTCCCAACACTAAATATTAAGAACGAAGAAGAAGAAGAATGGACTCCCCTTTGTTAGGTAGCTAAACCTTTTAGTTTTCTGAAGGCTCGATTTTGACACAAACACAGATGGCGCACCATCCGTACAGAACTCACAGCCGTTTGCCCTTTTTTTCAAAAAACGTATTTATTTTCTCCATATTATCACAAAATAGCAACTCTTCTTTGCTATAATCTGAATGAATATATTTCACATAGACAAACAACTGCTAACACGAACTCACGTCTAGTGATTCATCAACTTGAAAAGTAAACAAAGGTTAATTTAAGAATTTCTTTAGAGGCAGCAATTAAGATGAGTTAATCTATTTCTTGACCTCAGCATATATAGAGATTGTGTAGTCAGCTTAAAGACCAGCATCTTTACCATCCCCCGACTAAGAGGCGCTTTACGGACTCATCTAAATCAGGGGTCTCCAAACTACGGCCCGCGGGCCGTATGCGGCCCACGGCCCGCGATGTCCTCTCATCCGGCCCGCGGAGATCTTTTTGTCCACAAAAAAACGTTTGTTGGTGATGGCTGAGGAACTTTCTCCAGAAAAATCAAAGACATGTCTGGAACTAACTGGCCCCCGAACTGAAATTTGATAGTTGATGCGGCCCTCGGACTGAAAAGTTTGGAGACCCCTGATCTAAATGAACGAAATCGATTCTTGTATACTACATGTAACATATTTGAACACATATCTATTATGTTTGTTATGTGTATGGACACACATACGTTTATCAAATCGTGTTTAATTAACTTTGAATAAAGCAGCTGTTACGGTTTGATTGATTGGAATACAAAAGAGTGACACTGCTTTTAGCAAGACAGAGGCGTAGCTAGGGAAGGGCGAGTGGGGCGTCACTACTGGCCGACTTTTACGGGGCGCCAACATGGATACAACTCATGCCTAAATTATACTCCTTGAAGATTAAGAAAATAGACTGAACCTAGGTCAGTGGATAGCTGTGATTGACAAACCACATTCTCTGAAAAAGTTTACAGATCGACATAATGGGATTAAGAAGACATACCGAACTAGATCTATTTAAATATATATTTAAAGACACCATACTATTGACAAAATAATTAAACAAAGTCAAACCCCAGAGGAGTGACTTAAAAACACGACGTATTCTTTTTTTGGTTTAGTTAGAGAGCGCCCGAGGTGGAGGTAGACCTACGGCAGTTGCAAGTTCAGACATTGAAGCAGAACAAATAGGGGGTCGTCCATAAATGACGTCACACGCGTAGGGGGCAGGGGGGGGGGGGGTCCGTAGTTTTGTGACGGTGTGTGATGAGGGGGAGGGGGGGGGGGTTTCAGATGGTGTGACGTCACACTTTTGCAGTATAAAAAGCAATGTTTTAAAACGAGTTTTAGCCGTTATTTCGCGTCTTAGTAAACAGTTTCAATAAACTGTAATGGGAATTGATCAAAATACTCTATGTTGACAGAGTTCTGACAAGATTTTGGAAAAATATCAATGTTTTAATAAAAATCCTACAGCAATTTTGAGGGGATTGTAGGCTGATGTGTGATGTAATTTTAGGGGGGGGGGGGGTCTAGCTTTTTTGTGACAACGTGTGACGGAGGGTGGGGGAAGAGAGGTGAAAATCGTCAAAAAAAGCGTGACATCATTTATGGATTACCCTTAGGACGCATCTGTAAAGAAGAAAATAGCGAAGTATGCAATACCATTTAGGGTTGCCAGGTGTCCAGTTTTGAACTGGACAGTCCAGTATTTGAGCAGACTGTCCAGGATAAAATTAATATAAATACTGGACAAGTATATGAATAATACTCTGTTACCCCCCTTCTTCTGCTTTGCGGCATACCTGAGAAGGGAAGGATGGAAAGGTGTCCAGTATTTTCGGAAAAGGTATCTGGCAACCCTAATGCCATCCATGGGGGTTTAGAGAGGGTGTATGAATGAATGATGTAAACATGCTAAAAATTGATGAGTTGATGAAGGAAAGGCGATTTGTTTTTGTCTAGTGGATAACTAGGTGTCAAAAGGGCAAACATGTATGCACGTGTTGAGTTTTAATAAAGTAGTTATTAACATAATAATATTAAATTGGTTGTAGATAATGAGAATTACAAGTTTGTAGTTTCTGTAAGATGAGTTGTAATTTCTATCTTTGCAGCAGGTGAAGCTTGGTTTAAGTTACATTTTATTTAATCTGATCACCAAACAAGGAGCCTCTCCTGTATAATTTATGGTCCTAGGGGGAGCGACAGCCCCTCTGCTCCCCCCCCCCCCTGCTTAAGCCTCCGGTGTTACAGTTTATTTCAAACAATAGTTTTATTGATTATTGTGTCTAGTACTGTTAAATCCGACTATAAAACATAACGCACGCACCGCTTAACAATAACGTTGTTATTCGGGTGAGTTAATTCTCTTAACATTGTCTATGTTATTCTCAATTTTTTTAAATACGCTGTTTTCTTTCGAAATGTTTTGAGACATGGAGTGTTTTTAGGGTAATTTATAAAACCTGTCATCTGGTGCTAGGGCCTTGTCGTGGCTTGGCAGCTTGCTTACCCTGACCACCCCCAGAGCTATACCAGCGGGAGTGTAAACTCCTGGTAGGTTCAGCCAAGCTGGGAAGGTCTGCGCGGGTAGGGATCAGACCAAAGCTAACACCCTGGTCCTCCAGGTTGGGGGTTGAAACATAAGGCTAGCAACCTTATCTCGTAAAACAATTATCGCTACAGAAACGCAGACAGAATTTATAAAACAGTTAAATAACATCTATGCTGACAACTTATTTGTGTTCATAAAAAAAATATAAGTTGTATAAGCTAAAAGTACGGACATCCCAATGAAAATCCGCGCATCCCCTAGCACTAGTTGGTGCTTCCTATTTAAGACACCGCTGTTCTAACTAGGCTAGCATGCTACAACGTCCTCCACAGCAAACCTGTTCAAGGGGGGGTAGTTCAAGACTGACGTCCAACAGTTAGCGGTAGAGGGTCAGTTCTTTTGACCAATGACGGGGGAGGCAGAGAGTGTTTAAAATGTGACATATTTTACAATAGATTGCTATTGTCGCAAAGTTTCCTTATAGTAAACTGTGTACAATAGTAGTATTGGCTGATAATTTACAACTAACAAATATCTTGTTTTTTTCTTCTTGTTGGAAGCATCCGCTGCAATACTTGTTTGTCTTATAGCAGTGGCGTCGCTAGGTCGAGTGTCACCCGGTGTGCCAACTAATGGTGTCACACCCCTTCCCCCCGATATATATATATATATATATATATATATATATATATATATATATATATATATATATATATATATATATATATATATATATAAACTTTACCACTTGCGTAAATTTTGTTGTTTTTGTAATTCGTTACAGTGTTTTTTTTTTCGCTGTGAGTGTAAGGTCCAAGGCAAGGGTTATTCTAGATCAGGGATCGGCACCCTTCGGCTCGCGAGCCGCATGCGGCTCTTTCGATGTCAGGATGCGGCTCGCCAGTTCCAAAATAATTATATTATTTTCTTTTCACAACTCATAAAAATATTATACTGTAAAAACAACTTTAAACAAGATAAAAACACTAAGAATAGATCTAGGTGGAGTAGAGCGTATACCGACAGCTGGCACCTGCTTACCAGTTCCACAACTGTGCTGTGGCCAGCCCCGTGACAGTGGTTCCATGCTTTTCACTACCGAAGTGCAGAATTTTTGTATTCCGAATATTTTCAAAAGTAGCCTAATTGTTATTTTATTCAGAAGGCATTTTTTATGAGTCAGTGTGCATTAATTTGATTTGAGTGACGTAGGTTTTAGTTATTAGCTTCTAAATTGGGTAGGGATAGTGGTATGGTTATATAATTTGATTTTATTATCCTAGCAGAGCTAGCTAAAATACTTTAATATGTTTTGTGCGAAACATGCATATAATAAATGGGTTTAAGTATGAAATAATATTTAGTTTAAATTCATGTACCTAATCCTAATCAATTACCATAATATTGACAACAAGTGTTAGTGGCTCTTTATAAACTGTGAGATTTTGTAAATTGTAACTTTTGGCTCTTTCGTCTTAAAAGGTTGCCGACCCCTGTTCTAGATACTAGATGACAAGAAAAGATATTAGCTTCGATGCACCAATACCGCAATTAAATTTAAGTGTCTTACTTTTTAGTTTATTTCAAAAAACATTTGGAAATTTAGTTGTGATTGATTTAGCTTACCACAACTAGACCGACGTGCTGAAATTGTTTAAAATTTCAATCTTTATGTTTTCTCCCATTGATTTAACCTACAAAGTCCCTCAACAACGATGCAAAAATTACTCGTCGTCCTCGTGTCGATTGTCGTTCTTGCTATTCTGGAGGTGATGATTACAGAGTCCTTCATTGTGCGGGCTAAGAAACCGATAGTCTTCAAAAGCAAAGAAGAAGCTTCTCAGTACCTAACGAAGATCTTAGAACAACACAATTTCAACAGACGGCCAAGGTAACTGTGGGGTTAGCTATGCACATAGTCGTTTAACATTGTCAAGAAATGTATGTAAGCCTTAAGGCGAGATAAACTGGTTTTTTTTGTCTGTTTTATGTCAATATTCAGGGACGGTGCGATTCAATGGTAGAGCATACTTTGCCAGTTCTTAAACTTCAGTTAATGGACTTTGTTTTTTTAAACGTCCAACCACCATGCTCCCTCTTAGGGGTTCGTCTTAAAAGCTGGAGGGTGTTGGAAGGGGGGGGAGGGTTTGGGCGATTGGAAACTTTATGACGAGAAAAAGTCTGACTTTAACGTTTACGACCACTAAGAATAAAAATGAAACTGACACATCACTGTCAAAAAGATGAGTAAAATGATTAGCTACATGTTTCTTTTCAGGTTCGGCTAATGAAATGGAGGCTCCAGGTCAAGCACCACATTTAAGTTTTAAACCCACTAGTTTGTTTATTTTAACTTTTAATTGTTTCATTAAAATAGTTTGATAGCATTTTAAATTGTCTACATTTATCCGAACATTAATTGTTTCATTAAAATAGTTTGATAGCATTTTAAATTGTCTACATGTATTCGAACATTAATTGTTTCATTAAAATAGTATAATAGCATTTGAAATTGTCTACATGTATCCAAACATTAAATGTTTCATTAAAATAGTTTGATAGCATTTTAAATTGTCTTCATGTATCCGAACATTAATTGTTTCATTAAAATAGTTTGATATCATTTTAAACTGTCTACATGTATCCGACCATTAATTGTTTCATTAAAATAGTTTAATAGCATTTGAAATTGTCTACATGTATCCAAACATTAAATGTTTTATTAAAATAGTTTGATAGCATTTTAAATTGTCTTCATGTATCCGAACATTAATTGTTTCATTAAAATAGTTTGATGGCATTTTAAATTGTCTACATTTATCAGAACATTTATTATTTTATTAAAATATTTTGATATCATTTCAGAGGCGTAGCGAGGGGGGGGGGGGGCGGAGACATATGTCCCCGGGCGCCGACCTCAGGGGGGGGGGGCGCCAAATTGAAAGTTTGAGGGGGGAAGGGTGCAAATGAAAAGTTCGAGGGGGGGGGGGGTGCAAATCGAAAGTTGTCCCCGGGAAGGGGACATTAATTGTTCAACATTGTTTCATTAAAATAGTTTGATGGCATTTTAAGTTGTCTACATGTATCCGAACACCAGTGTTTCTTCCAGACTTTTTTTTTCGGGGGGGGGGGGGGGGGGCGGACACTATTAAAATTATATTTTTACTATATAAATTCCATCTCGTTCGGGGGAGGGGGGCAGTAGACTTTCTTCGGGGGGGGGGGGGGGCTCCGAAGAGATGCCTGGAAGAAACTCTGCCAAACACTGTTTCATTAAATAGTTTGATAGCGTTTTAAATTGTCTACATGTATCCGAACATGTTTCATAAGAAATGTTTAGATTGCACATGTAAATCCATAATAATGATGATTGCATACAATTAGTTTCACTTGGTTATCAAGCGAAAAAATAAGTTAGTACATATTTTAATCGCGGATGGTCTTCTTTTTATTTTTCTTCCTTTTTTCAGGTGATGTATGGGATTATAACATTTAATCCAGCGCTTCATAGGGAGACTTCTAAGTAGGTCACCAACTGACACCAACAGCGTCACCTGGCTGCCTTAAGGCTACTTATGTAGTTCTTATTTTTAAGAGAATAAAAATGTTTAAAATTTTCATAATATTTTTAATACTTATTTATAAAATTTCATCAACCTAGCTATAACGCTACTCAACCTATCGTTCACAGAAACACATACACACGGACAAAATTGCAAAACTTTGTTTTTCCGACTCAGGGGGTGTAAAACGATTTGTAAAAAAAATCTTGATTTTTTTTTTTGCACGAATACAATACTACTTTCTCTATAAGAGAAAGTAAAAACTGAAAGACACTTTTCTTACTCAAACTCTGAGACCGAATTCGACATTTTCAAAGGGTTCATCCATAAACGACGTCACGCTTTTAATCTCCCCTCTCCCCTCCGTCACAAAAAGCCAGACCCCCCACCCCTAAAATGACGTCACACCTCAGTCTCCACCCCCACCCTAAAAATTGCAGTTGAATTTTTTTCCAAAATCTTGTCTGAACTCTGTCAAAAAAAGAGTATTTTAATCAATTCCTATAACAAAACAGTTAAAGCAGTTTTCTATAACGCGAAATAACGTCTAAAATTCGTTTTCTAACATTGCTTTTTTTATAATGCAAAAGTGTGACGTCGCACCATCTGAACCCCCCCCCCCCTTCATCAAACACCGTCACAAAAATTACTGACCCCCCCCTCCCCCTACGAGTGTGACGTAATTTATGGACGAAATATCAACTGGACTCCCCAGTGTGTGCACATGCTCACTGCAAAAACATGAACTGATCGTAAGCAGCTGTTACAACACAATTAAGTACGTGTCAACTTGTTATGTGCTATATAGGCTGTTGACTCAGATTTCAGCCTGCTTTCTTTTTGGATTTGCTTCCAAAGCCTTTGTCCAACAAAGAACAACCTACATGGCAGCAGTTGTTTGATTTTTAAGTTGTCTCTCTTAGAAGAGTTGCTGTACCCAGCTGTCGAGTTGCATCTGCAATGAGGGTTGGAACTCAAGACTTTTTGGTTTAGCAACCATAAGCTTTACCGACTCAACCATGCCAACCCCCTATAAAAATTTTAAAAGCAGACATTTAATAACTTTGAAAATAATTTCATGACAAGATAATTATGGGAGACAACTCCAACACGAATAACACCATCTTGAATAGCAAAGTTGTAAAACTTATTGCAAATAGGCAGCTTCTTCCCCCTCCCACATATAATGATATCAGTTTCATTTCCTCTAACCATAACCACACTAATAATGAAAATTAGCATTTTAACATTCATTTCAGCATCGTTTCCAGTTCGTGGCTAAGATAAGGGGCAGATGAAGTAGAGTTCAACTGCTACAGAGACCTCGGCATATGAAGGGATAGTGTGGTCAGCCGCCTTTGTTTCCCTAAGGTTAGGTTCCCTGAGCTGGGTGGACAGAGGGATGTTCCATTGATTTGAACCCAGATTCAAACTTGTGACTCTCAGGTTAGCATTCTAGCTCTCTACAGCTAGGCCACACTGTCCCCAATTTTAACATTAAGTTTCTTATATTATATGTATGCTATTCAAAAATCCCCATCCCCCATAGTCTAAGCACCCCTTAACCACGAGTGTTACAAACAAGTTTTAACTATGACTTTAAAGGTAAGATCGCCCTGCAATACAGTTAATAAACTAGTTGAGAAAAAGAGGATTTCACTAATCAAAACAATAAATTTAACCACAAGGATTAACATCTTTCAATAATTTATTCCATGATACATTAAAAAAAATTGAAACAAAAAAACAAATTACTCTTTTGGTGTGGGTGTTTCCTTTGACTTTTTCTTTGGTTGTTTTTTCGGAATTTTCGGGACATCCTGTAAGTATGAATTGTAATTATTATAATCGTCAGATAAAAACCTATTTAAATTAATATTTTGATTTGCAGCTTTTAATTAGGATCTAATGAAATAAAACAGCATGCTCTCAATAAAATTATTTTAATTTTATGGTTACAGGGTTGATACTTGTCCTGCTATAAAGCACTATAATATTTCATAGGAATTTGAAGTATAAATAATAATTATAATTAGGTCTTAACAGTCTGATAAAAAACAGCAGCAATTAGTATCTAAAATGTGTAAATTCTAGACTCTTAATTTGGGCTTTTCTTTTTAAAATACCCTCTTATTCCTTGTATTTGTGGAAACCCTGAATACTTTGGTAAGCAAATGTTGAGTACAAAAATTATGTATTTCACGTCTATTTTAATAACTTTTTAATTACACAATATCATTTCTGTAAAATTACACCCACCATGATGTCCTCCAGCTTTAAGTCTATCCCGAACTCTTTTAATTTCTCCAACTTTTTTGACTGATTCCTCGCTGACCTCCTGAGTGACTCGTCTAACTTTTCTGTTGTCTTGGCGCTGTTATGTTGACGTTTGGGTTTGGTTGTTGGCCTCCATTTGAACTTGAAAAATGTGTTTTCATGGACTTCAGACATGGGCTTGTATTCACCTGAACACAGATAAAACAAAATGTTATCCTTCTGTTACAAAGGTTTCAATCACACTACTCAAATTTCAATGAACAATGGAAAAAAAAGTGTAAATTAATGTTGTTAATTATGAAACAGTTTATAATGAAATGTTTATTTAAAACTTGACAGGCAGCTAAAGGAATGTTGACTCATACCACTATGATCATATCAAGACTCAAAGAATGAAAAGGCTATAAAACTAAACTTATTATAAGTAATTAGATTCACCTAGTTCAATGTAAAGGAAACATGAACAAAATAACAGGCTCACTTACATTTCAAAAGTTTGTTAAAAAACAAGTAGTTATGGCAGGTCTCTGCTACAGTCTTGGCGACAGCTGCATATTTAAATTTGACGAAGGCATATCCTTTTGATTTACCGTTCTATAAGACAAAAGAGAACTTGAAATAACTTTATGTACAAGAAACCCCCTCCTGAATACAATTCTACAAGTTGATGCAGAGCTATAATATGCGAACGAATTCATGTATGTTTATAAAACAACACACAGAATAGGTTACATGAAAACAAGGAAAGTTTATTATAAATTACACTTCTCAATACTAAGCAAATCATACATACACTTGTTGTTTTCTTCTTACAAGAAAGTAGCAATGTAATGAAAGTAAGTTAAAATACAAACATTATAGTGTGATACAGATGGTCTATACAAAGTTGGATGCACAAAACCTACCTTCTTGGAGCGAGAAAGTTTGACGTTGAGCACCTTGCCGAACTGGGAGAAGTAGCTAGAGAGCTGTCTTTCATAGAAACCATGGGGCACGTGACCGATATACACAACCCCAGGCAGCCTGTCTTCTTCAGTGACTGGGCCCTAGAACAGACAGGAAAATACAACAATCACAACTTGGTGCAACAATCACAGATAGGTACAACAATCACAAATAGGTACAACAATCACAAATAGGTAAAACAAATTACAATTTACACATACATTTTTTTCATAAAAACGTTTTAATAACAAGCTTTTCTGTAATAATGCACTAAAAAGTAGAAAATAAATTATACACTACTATTTAAATAACAGTAAAGAAAAGCCAATGTGGCATCATTCGATAATAATAGATAAAAAGTTATTTGATTTTAACTTCATGTTAACACAAGAATTAATAGAGCTACTTTCACTAAAGCGCCGCTTGTGAGATAAATAAACAAATTAGGTCAAAAGTACACCTAACTATCCTCGATCAACAGAATTAAAAACGGGTAGGCTCTAATTCTAATTCTGATTACTAGAATTGACGATGGCCTCAAAATCATTGGTTTTATCCCTCTATCCCTTAATGCCTTAATGAAAAGGAAACCATGCCGCCAGCTTTCTAAATTGCTTCGAGAGCTTGAGCCATGAGATAATATAAACAAACCCGGAAGCAGTGAACCACACAGCCTAAAATTATAGTCTTGTGAATTGTGTCTCGTTAGGCCGTTCGATTCAACACTTCCGGGTTTGTCATTTTCGTGGCATCTCACGGCTCATGCGCTTACTAAAATGGCGACCAGTTTCGCTTTCTCTAAACGGTAGAGGGATAAAACTATTGATTACGATGCCATCGTTAATTTTAGAAAACGGAACTATCCGTTTCTATTTCAGTCTGTTATTTAAGAATTCCCAGATGTACTTTTGACCTAATTTCTTTGTTTGTCTCGCAAGCGGCGCGTAAGTGAAAATAGCTCTATGTATTCTTGTCTTTTAAATCAAATAACTCTGAAATATCGCATTCCTTGGAACCCAGCCTATGTTACTTGAAAACTTTAAACTATTAATTTAACACACATTACAATTATCTGGTAATAATTTCTTGGGTTTATGAGATGTGTTCGTGGAAAAACGATCACCCCCAATAATGCCATTTTATTATAATCTTGTTTGGTGAAAACGAGGCGCGGGAAAATGTGTGCCGCGCAAGAATCCAATCATTTGGCTAGATTTATTACTGTTTTTTTATGTCACACCTAAAAATAGAATGTTTACGCTTTCTTCGTTGATGATCATTTTTATTATTTTTTAAACTGAAAGTATGAATTATCAGTTAGATTGCAGATTTTGTAACTTGGTATACTTACCCTTTATCAATTTTAAAAGCATAGCATGCTAATTGTAAACAAATATAGTCATAAAACACAGAAATATAAAGTTCCAATTGCGATTTGACACACCCGGGTCACACCCCCTGAAGAAAACACGTGTTTATTAAGCTGTTTATCTCACTTTACAACAGTAATTAAAATTAATTTTCAAATTTTTATCACTTATTGGGTAAGATAAAGCACATGTTTACTAAAAATAAAAAATAAAACAAAAGCAAATTCTGTTTCAATGAGGGTCACGGGTCAAGTTTTTTTTCCTTCTGTCAAGTTCAGTGGAGGGTGCCACAGGCTGACCTGACTTTGGAATTTTTTTTAAGTAATAATGACTTTGCACAGAAAGTTAAAATATGCTAAATTAGCTTAGTTTACTAGTGTTCTAGCTATTATTGATACATTTTTAATAAAAAAATCATTCTATAATTCTCATCAAAAAGCCTAGTCTCGTTATTAGGGATTTAGGTAAAAAAACACTAATCATCATATAAAAATAAAAATTACATATTCTTGTAGAGCTCAACTATATGAAAACATAACAAAAAAGATTTTCTGTCTAGCTCAAATAGTTTTTTTTTGGCGAATTTTTTTGTGAGGGGTGGAATCCCCTTGCTTTTGCATTGGCCAATTGTGACAAGTCATGGTATACCTGAATAAATTGAGCATAGTTATTTTACTTGCAGTTGTATTTTGTTCATATTTGCAGAGTTTAACTAGAATGATATATAGAACTTGTAAATGCTGTTGAAATTAATAAAAATAATACAGAACTTATATTTTTGTGTTGGCTTCCTCCCATAACCCCAAAAAACTGTGTGCTGCGCAAATATGAAAATGTTTCTAAAGCCATATTTTATATAAATACAGCAAATGAAAGAACTACAAAGTTAGAAATCTAAAGTAAATGACTTGAACACTGTTATGTGCATATAATTGCCTCATTATTTTGGGCAGGTGAAGTAGAGTCCATCTTTAAGCCATTTTGTTATAAAACTGCTGCGCAAATATGAAAATGTTTCTAAAGCAATATTTTATATAAATACAGTGAATGAAAGTAAATGACATGAACACTGTAATGTGTCTATAACTGCCTTGTTATTTTGGGCAGGTGAAGTAGAGTCCATATAAAAGTCATTTTGTAATAAGTGAAATGAAGTTAACAGATCAATGTTTTTATGTGTGAATTGTGTATGGATTCTGATTTTCAGCATATAACTATATCTAAGGGTGAGTAGAACTTGAATACTTAAAATTACAGTTAGCACAATGTTAGTGTATAGCAACAGACAGGTAACCTAGATCTAGGTCATTCTAGGTCTGACTCTTGTCAGTCTAGAGTCTAGTCAGACAAAATTGGATTTTTAGGAAAAACATATTCTAGAAAACTAGAACTAGAGCTGAAAAAATTAAAGATGGGTATGTAAATATATTTTGAAATAAAAAATTAGATTTGTTTGCACATGCCATAAGATTGCTGTTATTAGTTGATCAAACTTAAAGGCAGGAAGATCGGGATGAAAAAATATAACAATGGTGGCAGCATGACCTACATACAGTGACTACGTTCGGAGGGGTATAACTAATGTCGGAGTCAAAATATCCAAAAACAAATTTCATTTCCAATTACTTAAGATATGTCTGATCAGTAATCTACTCTCATCTAGAGGAATCTTTTAAAAAATCGAGATTCCAACGTATTTGAAACTAACCTTGATACAGGGGGAAGACCAAAGCAGAGACAGCATGCAATCAGGTCGCAAAGCCATTAAAACTAAGGGACAACCACTCTACTTCTTAATTAACCTTAGGAAATGACCTTTTAAACTTAATTAATTACCATAAATTAAAAACTTATTAGTATGCAAAACCAAATCTCGTGGGTCCGGTATCAGAAAGTAATGGGCGATTTCGGGTCATGTTTTTACCGCCAACTCGGCGGATGCCGACAACCCTATCGTTATCTGCCCATTTATTAGTTTTTCTCACTAAATCTAGAATTTACGCAATTATCAATTTAAACATGACCACTGAATAATAGACATCCATATTTAATCCATTAGGCACTAACTTTGGAGTTTTTAGTTCGTTTTGAACTAAATTAGTTAATTTAATATTTATTGTCAATCACTACCATGTCCAACACATCTCTCCATGACAACTCTTCTTAAGCTTGAAGCTAAAGAAAACCACAAATCAGGTTAGACTCCATGCACAAGAGTTCCTCACTAGTGATCACCAAATAGCGGTCACGTGGTTTTTAAAAAATAAAAATAAATTGGTTGTGATACGGACGCCAGTCTTATAAAAAAACAGCTCACAATATTTGATTTCTGTTTTCATAGACTGATAAAACTAATAATGCTTTACGTTCTCGCTCATTTCTGTACCTACACTGTTGATATTTTTTAAATTCTATTAATTTTAATGAAACCAACTTTTGAATTTAGCCTCCGTTCTCCAAACCAAATTTTAAAATGCTTTTCTGGCATATCTAACCCTGCCACTTATGGTTTGTTGTTATGACACGGAAATCCCGCCATTTTGCGCGTGGTAAACATTTTTAAATGTAATTAGTTGAAGGTCTCTGAAATTTGGCCGAAAAATCACCGGAAATCAGACGTCCGGTCCGGGCGCCATATTGTTGTTAGCAACCGACCACGCATCCAAGTTAGAGAGAAATACTACCATTTATTAATGCCATTTATATTTCCATGGGTAATGTGACAGTAATGTCTCACATTGTATTAGTGCCTCGTTTTTTTACCCACACTGTTATTAATTTAAAATATAGGGCCCTGCGGCAAGGCTGTGAAAGTGAATGTAAAAATAAATTTAGACTAGAATCTAGAGTAAAGTTCCGCGTGTGGTCAAAACCACGGTGTAGTCACATTCCTGTTTATGGCTTCGTATAATATTTGTTTGGATGTTTTATACGAAACTACCAATATCTGCTGTAAACATGTCCATTTCTAAATATATCCAGGTCAAATTCTTTTGTTTCACTCCTTCTGAAAGACGAGTTTTTAAATTTTCAAGTTTCGAGGTATGACGTCGTAGGCGATTCTAGTTCCCCCGTATGAAAAGCACTAGGTCCCGGATGAGATGAATAAAACCAACCAATCAAAGCTTTTTATAACTAGGTTAACTATAAATAGCTTCTATTTATGTGCGGGACACTGAAAATACTGTAGTTAAGGCTATTAAAAGAATCTTAGTGGTGAAATGGGGGTGATCACAGCTGGGGTAACGATTTTTGTGTTTTACCCTCGCTGTGGTCACCAATGACTTGAGCTAGACTAGCCTAGATCTAGCTGCTCTATATTTCAAGCTAAGTCTAGAACCTATATAATTTCTATTTTTTTCTGTTGTTTTAAATTATTTTAATCATCTACTTCTTCTAAATCTAGTTTGTGTCTCTACATACAATCCAATTGAAGCAAATGTTACGTTTTGTCTTGTTAGTGATTGTTACGTCCCTTTGTTATGATTATAATAGTTGCGTCCCTTGAGTCATCACTGGGTCATCCGTAATTTGTAGTTAATAAATTTAATTAACGTGTTATTATTTGGTTTTGCAAATCTATTAATTAATTATACAATCATCAACACGTTTAAATGAGTAAAATTATTAAAATTGGATCAAAACGTAAAAAATACGCTAGTGATCACAAGCAGGGACAGGTGACCACAGGCAAGTAAAAAGGGGGGAAAAGTCGATCACAAGGAGGTTCGTCACTAAAACATGAATATCTCAAATACTATGCGTATGAATACAAAATAACTCATGCATATTAGAGTAGAATGGCAGTGGAGTAATAAATTACTTTCGGTTTGTTTCTGTGTGAAACGGTTACAAAATAGCGCCCGATGAAAATCGGGAGTTCGGAATTTTTCGCTATGTGTGACCACACGCGGAACTTTACTCTAGATCTAATCTAGATCTAGAAAAATGCCATGGATGGGCACACTTCAACTCCACACACTGGCCAATAGAAACTTATTCAATGTTTCTAGTTTGTGTTCCTATGTCTGATTTTTGTTTTAAATAAAACTATCACTTATTTTTTAAGCTATGTATGCTTTGAGAAGAAATAAAATAAAAACACTACCAGTAAGCTTTTGTCTACTGTTTTCTTAGCCCTCTGTTTTCGCGTGGTAGCTGCCATTTTGTTTACAGCGGAAAAGGACTAAAATTAAACTTTGTAAAAATGAAGTACTGTAAACGCGGTGCATTCCCTTTAAATAAAAAATTAAAAAAAAAACTGCAACTTTCGGGAAATTTTTTAAAATTATGTCAGTTGCATTTTAGTGATTGACATTTCGATCATAGAAACATTATTATGAGTAAAATGTATACTCAGTGGCGTAGCGAGGACGGGTGTCACCCGGTGCGGCACCTGATGGTGTCACCCCCCCAACCACCCCCCGTAAATATATATATATATATATATATATATATATATATATATATATATATATATATATATATATATATATATATATATATATATATATATATTCCATAAACACTTGTAAGTATGTGTATATTTATTCAAATATTTTTTTTCTGCTGGATGTATTTAATTTTTTTACCCCCCCCCACCCCCAACCCATACATGGATTAACATATAGCTTATTACGATTCACAACCAATCCGTTTTCCTCAGGCATATATATTGCAACGTTGAGTTGATGTAACTCCCCCCCCCCCTCGTCGTCACCCCCCACCGTGATTGCTTTAAACTGTGCTCAGATAATACTAACGATTTGCATCTAAATTCGGTTATAAATTCAGCTAGGCGTTGCGTGCTTTCTATATCATTAGCAGGTTTACGTTATGGTGTCACCCCCCCACCCTCCAGCCGTGTTGGGATATGTCCACTTTGCTCTTAAAAGACTATTTAATACACTCTAATTAAGCATTTAATTAAGTGAAATTATCATTTTTCTCTATATATTTTGCTATTTTTTGCCTTGGTGTCACCCCCCCCCCCTTAATGGTGTCACCCGGTGCGGTCCGCACCCCCCCTCCTCGCTACGCCACTGTATATATATATATATATATATATATATATATATATATATATATATATATATAAAATTAAAACAATTTAAAACAACATATCATGTGTGTAAGTGCATTTTCTATATATTTTCTAAATAAATTATATATATATATATATATATATATATATATATATATATATATATATATATATATATATATATATATATATACATGTGTGTGAGAGAGAGTGTGTGTGTGTGTGTGTATGTGTGTGTGTGTGAACCTCCGAACGGAGTGACCCAGTGCACATTTCTCGCTATATTATCTTACCAAGCCCCTATTTAATATTTCTAAACGTCATACGTTCCCCTTATCCATAAAACTTGTTTACCAAGTTAAATGTTAATCACATAACCCATGCGTGCATTAAACTCAACGATAATTAAATTGTTGCAACGGCAGTAAAATTTAATGGCTTTTAAGGGCATGGGCGGGTGATGAGTACCAACTTCCTTATTTCCGAGTCTAAAGATGTAATACTTGGCTAATAGTTATAACTCAAAGAGTTAAGCATAAAAATATTTTTTTTTATTTTTTAAATCTTCCGTTGCCATGGTGACGGCGGCCATATTGGATTTTATTGACGATTTTTAAATGGAAATAACTCAAAAATGGTTTTTACAAATTTCATGAAAACTTAATATAGTCTGCAGACACATGTGTTTAAGACTTCTGATAGATTACATTTTCAAAAAAGAAAATAGTTTTTTTTTTACTTTTTTTTTTCAAACATTACTGTAAAAATTTCATTATTTCGTCCAATTTTTTCACTATTTCAACAACAAAATTTTTTTTTTTACAAAAATTCCAAAAGTGTTCTATCAGTTTTATTTGAACATATATAAAGAGTAACTGGAGCAAATTTAGTTCAGTTCTGATAATTATTAACAAAGTTATTTCAACAATTGTACAAAAAAACATCAAACTGAGAAAAACGCAAAAAACTAACAAAAAGTTGCAAAAAATGATCATTTATCGCTGTATGTCACTAAAATCGACCACATTTATAGCCTGAAGTATGGTGCTGCTGAATATATTACTTCTGAGCTTGTTCGGCTGTTAGTTTTCTTTTTTTCTGGCGCTCTTTGTTTTACCTAGAGCTGTAGTAAAGCTGTTGTCATGGCGTCTTTTTTGGCGTCCTTCACTGGGTCTTCGACTATGGTTTCCTTCTTTTGACAGCAATGCCATAGCATGCCTGGGCCCAAAATTGAATTATGCTATCGCAGAAACAGCAGTATATTTTGCATGGTCTCATGTCTAAAGCCAATTATGATAAGACGATGTCTTTGTTTATTGTGAAAGGCCTTGTTCTGGATTCTTTTGCAGTTGTATACTTACGGTTTACAACATTTTTATTACTGCCACACCATGCTTGAAGCAAACCCTTTACACTTTTTTCATCAATAGTAGCCACTACATCACAGTGTGCGAGGAAATGTATTGATAACATCAAGAAGCAAATCATATTCGACAATAATTCTGCATGGCTGTGGTTTACAAATTAGCACTACCAGTACTAGATGTAACAGTGCTTTCTTCTGTCTGTAAAAACTGTGTCTTACATTGGCGCAGTTTCTTAGTAAATGTGCATATTACATCTGCACCAGTGCTTGTCTGAATAGTGCGAGATTGAGTAGAGGTAGCTGCAATCAGTTGCATTCGGACGTGCCCTTGCTTTAGTAAATTAGTTCGATGTGTGTATCTATTTTTAGCGAGTGTTTTGTTCTACGCATTATCGAAAGAGAAACAAATTAAATCGTCTCACTGCTTATGATAATTCACACAAACTAATCTAAACTGTTAATAGTATATTTAATTGAAATAATTATATGTTAAAATAATGTAAGTATTGCACAGAAGCTTAGAGAAACAAAACTGGATCAAACTTAGCAACGCGCTGAAACTAAGGGAATGTTTACTGCCGAAGCGAAACGACCAATCGCTAACTAGCTTCCGCCGTCGTATGCCAATGAAAAAATTGAGGTCAAAAATTTGCATACCGGAAAAACCCGACTGAGTAAAATAAACAACTTTATGACGTAGAAAAATAATCACATTAAAATAGGTATTTTGATTGGTCATTTAATTTTAGAACAAATAAAGAAAGGAGGTCACGGCCTTTCCATTGATATGAAACACATTAGGTTTCCGCGAAGCCTAATAGTACTTTTCTAGGTCGAAAAATTGCTATTTTTACCAAAAAATTAAACAAAAGACCCTGTACACACTACATTGAACCCGGTTTTTCATAATTAAATACTGTTTTTAGGGTCATAACAATGTCATTTTTAGATTCAACGATGATTATTCTGTGTAGATCAAGTAAAAGTGGGAAATCGATGATTTAGTGGATTTATGACGAAAAGTACTCCCGCCCATGCCCTTAATGTCAAGCGTGCTTTAGGTGCCTGGTGTGACAGAGGCTTGCAAAGTGACATGACACTGACATGTGACTCTGGCACAGTTCAAATAAACCTGCAGTTAAAGTCGGAAGGTGATTTTATTGAGGTAAAAACTTCTGACAGGCGCCTGTTAATACTGACGTAATGAACGTTACTAAGGTAAACAATGGGTTCAAAACTTCCGCAAAGGGACGTTAGAAGCGTGTTGGCTTTAATTGTCGAAATTTGGCACTGGGTTGGTGGGCTTTGGTTGGCTGTTTGGCATGGTTGATTGTACTAGTGTTTTACTGTGTGGTTGGTTGTCCTAATGTTTTATCGTGTTGTTGTTTGTCCTAATCTTGTATTGTGTGGTTGTCCTATAATTTTATCAAGTGGTTGTATGTCCTAGTGTTTTATTGTGTGGTTGTCCTATAATTGGATCAAGTGGTTGTATGTCCTAGTGTTTTATTGTGTGGTTGTCCTATAATTGGATCAAGTGGTTGTATGTCCTAGTGTTTTATTGTGTGGTTGTCCTATAATTGGATCAAGTGGTTGTATGTCCTAGTGTTTTATTGTGTGGTTGTCCTATAATTGGATCAAGTGGTTGTATGTCCTAGTGTTTTATTGTGTGGTTGTCCTATAATTGGATCAAGTGGTTGTATGTCCTAGTGTTTTATTGTGTGGTTGTCCTATAATTGGATCAAGTGGTTGTATGTCCTAGTGTTTTATCCAGTGGTTGCCCTAGTGTTATTTTGTGTGATTTTCCTAAAGTTTTATCGTGAGGTTGGTTGTCCTAATGTTTTATCATGTTGTTGTTTGTTCTAGTCTTGTATTATGTGGTTGGTTGTCCTAATGTTTTATCGTGTGGCTGTATGTCCTTGTGTTTTAGCTCCCGTCTTTATGTTTTAATGGGACGGTGTGGTTGGACGGTAGAGTGTTCGTAAAGTAAACAACATTCTATCTGTGCATAAAGCAAGCTCCAACAACTTATCATATGCCTACGTCACAACATAGATGAACACTATTTTTGGACCGCGAAGAGTAACTTGAAGTTTTATAACCGCGCAGAATCGACGCAGGATTTCAAAACTTTTCAAACTGCAATCAGCATTGACCCCTCTACATCTATGGTGATGTAGCATCTAGCAATGAGATTGGAATAGGAATTTTTATAGAAGCCTATGTATATTTTACTGTAAAAGTGTTTAAATGTTTAGACCACACTATAGTAAATCAACTAAAACACATATCAGTAAAAGTAATTAAAGTTCCTTTTTAGAACATGACGGTTTATTGGGCAAGGGAAGTAGAGTTCACCTGTTTTTGTGGCCTCGGCATACAGAGGGACAGTGTGGTCAGCACTATGCCAAGCCGCCTTTACTTTCCTTTACGTGAGTTGGGTACCCATTAGAGCTGGATGGACCTCACCCATTTCACACACCTCACCCAATTCACACACCTCACCCAATTCACACCTCACCCAATTCACACACCTCACTCACACCTCACCCAATTCACAATACCTCACACTTCACACACTTTACCCAATTCACACACAACACTCACACGCCTCACTCAATTCACACACCTCACCAAATTCACACACCTCACCAAATTCACACACCTCATTCAATTCACACGCCTTACCCACTTCACACACAACACTCACACACCTCACCCAATTCACACACCTCACCCAATTTACACACCTCACCCAATTCACACACCTTACCCAATTCACACACCTCACATACCTCACCCAATTCACACACCTCACCCAATTCACACACCTCACCCAATCCACACACAACACATACACCTCACACACCTCACCCAATTCACACACCTCACACACCTCATCCAATTCACACACCTCACCCAACTCACATACCTCACCCAATTCACACACCTCACCCAATTCACACACCTTACCCAATTCACACACCTCACCCAACTCACACTCCTCACCCAATTTACACACCTTACCCAATTCACACACCTCACCTAATTCACACACCTCACCCAACTCACACACCTCACCCAACTCACACACCTCACCCAACTCACACACCTCACCCAATTTACACACCTTACCCAATTCACACACCTCACCTAATTCACACACCTCACCCAACTCACACACCTCACCCAATTCACACACCTCACCCAATTCACACACGCAACTCACCCACCATTCTCTACAACTCACCCACCAGTCTCTACAACTCACCCACCAGTCTCTACAACTCACCCACCAGTCTCTACAACTCACCCACCAGTCTCTACAACTCACCCACCAGTCTCTACAACTCACCCACCAGTCTCTACAACTCACCCACCAGTCTCTACAACTCACCCACCAGTCTCTACAACTCACCCACAAGTCTCTACAACTCACCCACCAGTCTCTACAACTCACCCACCAGTCTCTACAACTCACCCACCAGTCTCTACAACTCACCCACCAGTCTCTACAAATCACCCACCAGTCTCTACAACTCATCCACAAGTCACTACAACTCACACAACAAACCTGAACCTCTGGAGCAACTCACCCACCAGTCACTACAACTCACACAACAAACCTGAACCTCTGGAGCAACTCACCCACCAGTCACTACAACTCACACAACAAACCTGAACCTCTGGAGCAACTCACCCACCAGTCACTACAACTCACACAACAAACCTGAACCTCTGGAGCAACTCACCCACCAGTCACTACAACTCACACAACAAACCTGAACCTCTGGAGCAACTCACCCACCAGTCACTACAACTCACACAACAAACCTGAACCTCTGGAGCAACTCACCCACCAGTCACTACAACTCACACAACAAACCTGAACCTCTGGAGCAACTCACCCACCAGTCACTACAACTCACACAACAAACCTGAACCTCTGGAGCAACTCACCCACCAGTCACTACAACTCACACAACAAACCTGAACCTCTGGAGCAACTCACCCACCAGTCACTACAACTCACACAACAAACCTGAACCTCTGGAGCAACTCACCCACCAGTCACTACAACTCACACAACAAACCTGAACCTCTGGAGCAACTCACCCACCAGTCACTACAACTCACACAACAAACCTGAACCTCTGGAGCAACTCACCCACCAGTCACTACAACTCACACAACAAACCTGAACCTCTGGAGCAACTTACCTGTGACCTGGGCTTTTCCCACAGCTTTTTCTCGAAGAAGAAAAAAAAATAGAAACAAACAGGGGAAGATAAACCCTGGGTAAATTATCTCCCATGATGCCTTACACTACTAGTATAGCTCAAGAAAAAATGCGAGTGTTATTTTTAGCCACAAAATGGACTACAAAATCTACTTGAGAGTTTGTATAAATACTTATTTAGAATATATTTAAATATTATCTAAAAAGCTTTTTATATACAAAAATATAAGTATATAACTAAGGTAATTTTTTAAAGTACAGAGTGTTATAGTATAACAAATTCTACGAATAATAAAAAAAAAGTAGATGTTTTTGTTGACACGCCAAAATAAATAATTAGATTACCATCATTTTTCTTCTACTTTGCCTCATCTCCCAAAAACTCGGCTTCTTTCTAGTGTTACCACAGCCACTCCCCCCTCTTTTTTCATACCTGGGATATCCTCCAACACTACTTATCGTACTCAGGTAAGTTCTTGATTTAAATATTTTGAGGAGGAAAAAAAAAACATACGTGTACCTCAAGGCTGAGATACCATCAATGTTTAAAAAACAAAAAAACAAAGGCACCTCGCTAATTTACACCTCTCCCCAAAACCCCCCACAGCCCCCCCCCCCTCTCTGGTAACACTTAATGAAACCAAATTCACTTTGGCAACCCGTCCTTCTATTCCAGTCCACATTCTTTGTTGTTTCATTTGCGTAATTTTAAAATGGTTTAAATATAAGTTTGTTGATTTTTAAAGGGAAATCTGAGCGTTTTCCATGCAAACTGAATCGTTGTCAAAACATTCTCCAGTCGCTGATTCTAAACACGTTGTCCATTTTTGAACAGTTTTCTCCTTTTCATTATCCAAGGGCGGATCTGTGTAGTCAGTGGGATGGGGTGGCGTGAGGTGGTAGGGAGGGCTGGGAGAAATTTGGAAAGAATGTAGACTTATCAAAAGTTAACATGCTAATTTATTGGAGCATTCTGTTATTAATGCTTCTTATTGTTTTATCGGGTGGTTGTCCTAGTCTTGTATTGTGTGGTTGTGCTCAGAGTTTCTTCCAGACTTTTTTCCCCGGGGGGGGGGGGGGGGGGCACTTGATATTTTCGGGGGGGGGGGGGTGCGGGGGCGTCAATATTTTCCGGGGGGGGCGGACACTGGTAAAAGTATATGTTTTCTATATAAATTCCATTTCGATCATTGGGGGTGGGGGGGGTGGGGCGGTAGACTTTCTTCGGGGGGGGGGGGGGGGGGTAGTATCCCCCCCCCCCCCCGAAGAAATGCCTGGAAGAAACTCTGGTTGTCCTAATGTTTTATATTTGTAGACCTATCTTGAACCCAGTGTTTCTTCCAGACTTTTTTCTCCGGGGGGGCACTTGAAATCTTCGGGGGGGGCGGTAAACTTTCTTCGGGGGGGCGGACACTGTTAAAAGTATATATTTTCTATATAAATTATATAAATTTCATTTCGTTCGGGGGGGGGCGGTAAAAATTTTTCGGGGGGGCAAAGCCCCCCCGAAGAGATGCCTGGAAGAAACTCTGCTTGAACCCCCCTCTCCCCCCCCCCCCCCAAATAAAAAACGAAATTACTGAACAGTTAGACACGCTTATGGTAAAGCTGAGCATATAAACGACGTCTATTGATTTAAATAATGTCAATTCAATATTTCTTTCCACATAAACGACCCTTTAAAACTAAAGCGGGCGGGGTCAGTAGAGCCATTATTCTTTAAAATTTACGTTTGTTATATTTTTTTTTCTAAATTCTTTAATTTGCATACGAACTTAAATTTCTAACGGGTTGTGTCATGCGCAGTTAATGCTTTATTTGTCTCGCGTTATCGCGCGATGACGCTTTATTTACACGACGTAAATTTTTCTCCAGCCAGCGTGGGATCACCACACCTTTTATTTTTGTTGCGGTCCTGCGTTCGCGAGGTACGGTATTAATGAGGGTAGATATCGCGACGGACTGAACTTACGGCGGGAAGGCTGGGGTGGCGTCTGCCAAGTTGTGAAGCAGACGTGAAAAGAAACCATTCAAGCCGTCTGCTCATAGCAGACTCTGCCAGGATGGATTTTTTTAAAGTATCTTTTTTAATGTGTGGAATTTTTTTCTACCTTTTCTGTTAGAAATCTTGAAGGAATTTTTCTTCGTGTGTATTTCAGGTGTGTAGTTAAGGTGTTGAGGTTGAGCTTTAGATTTTACTTTGAAATCGGAGTATTAGTATTCATATGTGTTTCACGATTATTTTTAAATTTGTTTACCGAAATTCTTCATAAAAACGTAAATTGGACAATTTTCCTATCAAAGGATTATACAACACGTAAAGGTAAGTGGCGGCCTATTAGAAAATAAGTTTTAGTTTTCCGACTTAAAGATATTTTAGGTTTATCAAATCCTCTTTTCGAGACTCAATTTACACTTCTAATTAATTAAAAATGTAAGTTAAAAAATAGACGCATTGAATTTGTGGCTTTTTTTCATATTCAACAAAATGCGTTTCGTTAATATGGAAATTTTCGCAAGTGATTTAATTAAATGAATATGTGTGAGTTATACATACCTGAATACGGACAAAGAGTTTGAGCAGATAAAGAATAGTAACGTCAGAAACATGTAGATCTAACTGCATCAGGGATGTTTTGTTCATGAATATCTTAACACCTCAAAAGGGATTGAAACTTTAATTATTTTTTTCTCATCATTCAAGGAGATTTAGCTCATTTTTAAAGAATTTCTATTTCGTATTAACGGTGTTGATTATTAAACATTGTTATTCAAATAATTCTTGTTAGAAAGGATAGTGATTTTATTTGCCTATGAAAGTCGTTGGTGTGGTTGATAATGATGATTTAGCTGTAGATTTTAGTTCAGAGTTAGAGTTAGTCATGGGTTAGTGTTTAGGTCTGGATGGCACTTACAAATTATTATTATTTTTAATTTAGAATCAGGATTTAAAAGAAACAACAACCCATAATCATGAGAGCAAAAATTCTTTTAAACACAAAGCAGCATTTTGACCATTGTTTCTCACAGCAGGAAGGAGATTCATACCAGATCTAGGTGTAAAGGAAAGGAGAAGGGTAAGGGGGGGGGGGGTGGTGGTCGTGTAATGCTGATTTTACTTTTCTTTTCTTATGGATTACATGCGATTATTTGAATTGGTGTCAGTAAAGTCATTTTATGGTGGGGAGTGTACTGATTTTGCAACGCTTGAAAATTGGGGGTAACTTCAAATAGGTAACTTTTTATGTGAACGCATTCTTCATTGGATAGTTAATTTATTTTAAAAAAACTGTAAATAATTATTTCATTATAAAGGGACTTCACACACTGAATACTGTATGTTTGTCTTTGTAGAAACAAGTGTTACATAAAGATTTGGTTGTTCCGTGAAAATCAACAAGGGAACTCAGTATCACATGGAGGTTTTACTTCTCTGATTCTGTTGGTGTATGATTAAGATTAGGATCAGTGATGCTCACAATGCTACCATCGTCTTTATGTGTTTCGGTTTTAATCGTGAAAACAGGGATATATATGATATCTAAAAGATATAAAGATAGATATTCAACTACTAAGCGGCTTTAGTAATTGTCCATGATCGAACCATTGTCAATGTGCGATCTCTACGATCGCCTTATACTACAGTGTTAGCTTTAGGCAAGGGTAATGGTCTAGTATTAGGATGTGATGTGAGTTAGGGTCAGCGTTATGTTAGGATTAAGTTTAAAATACTATCGATATATATCGACAATCGTAGCTGTTCCATATATTTCTCTAACCGTGTCTTTACCAACAACTGTGTAAGCTGCACCTAAAGGGCCTCGGGTCAACGAACTTTTGATAAATGAAAGATTGGAACAGCGCATATCTCCTTCAGTGCCACGTCAACCTGTAAGCAAACATTATCCCCCCCCCCCCCAGCCACAATCTCACTTTTGCTCATCTGGTAGTGCTAGCATGCCTGAAGGCGCGCGTCAAAGCTAATTTTCTTAAAGCACCGTTACTATAACCACAGCCTGTAGTCTTATACATATATATATATATATATATGTATATATATATATATATATATATATATATATATATATATATATATATATGCCTATATATATATATATATATATATATATATATATATATATATATATATATATATATATATATATATATATATTATAAGAGTAAATCTATTTTCACCCTAATTTAACTCGTTCTGACCATTTACCATAAGCCTAACAGTAAATTTAGTAACACCCCTAATTCTAATACTCCACTTAAATTTTGACCCTCTAACCTAAGTTCATCTATCCACAACACTAACCCCGATTCAACTCCAGTTTTGACTTGACCCTAAACCTAACAGTAATATCTAGAAGCACCCCTAATTCTAATTTTACCTAAGGTTTGACCCTCTACTCTGATCCTCACAGTAAATACATCAACACCCCTAATCCAAATTCAAGCCTTTACCATAAGCTTAAGAGTTAATCTATCTACAACCCTAATCCTAATTCAACTCAAGTTTCGACCCTCTACCCTAACCCTAACAATAAATCTAGTAAAACTCCTAATCCTAATTCAACCTTAATCTTGACCATTTACCTAAAACCTAACCGAAAAGTTAGTAAAACCTCCTATCCTAATTCCGTCTTATGTTTTACCCTTTTACCTAGATCTAACCCTAACAGCTAACCCTGATCCTAGATACGAATCAGCCATGCCATGCCGGTATGCCTAGTAGAGCTGACAAACTCGATGCACGTGAAACATCTGTCAGCGCCCCCCCCCCCCCACCCCTTTCCTCTCCCCGGGCATGTGTGTTTTGTAACCCCTGGTCCAGACTCCTTTAGCATTACCTCACCAAAGGTATCACATTACGTGGTTTACCTCAGCAGGGGTATCACATTGCCCGGGATGGTATTGTTGTTACCCCCAATTTGTAACAGGTAGAACTGTTGTATGATTGTTTTTACCTGCCTAGATTTGCTACAATCTCATGTATGATTGTTATAATTAAACAGCCGCAATATACTTCAATCCAATGTATGATTGTTATAATTATATTGCCGCAATAAGCTATAAATCTTTTGTATGATTGTTATAATTAAATTGCCGTAATATGCTGCAATCTAAGGTATGATTGTTATAATTATATAGCCGCAATATACTACAAGTCTTTTGTATAATTAAATAGCCATAATATACTCCAAGTCTTATCTTTGATTGTAATTCTTAAATTGCCGTAATATGCTACAATCCAGAGGCGTAGCGAGGGGGGGGGGGGGGCGGGGGGGGGGGCGGACCGCACCGGGTGTCACCATTTAGGGGGGTGACACCAAGGCAAAAATAGTAAAACATATAGAGAAAAACTTGAGGGAGTGGGGTGCACATCGAAAATTCGAAAGTTTGTCCCCGGGAAGGGTCGCTACGCCTCTGAGGGGGGGGGGGGGTGACACCATTAAGTGCCGCACCGGGTGACACCCGACCTCGCTACGCCACTGCTACAATCTAAGGTATGATTGTTACAATAACATTGCCACAGTATGCTACAAGTCTAAGGTAGGATTGTTACAATATAACTGCCACAATCTAAGGTATGATTGTTATAATATAACTGCCACAATCTAAGGTATGATTGTTATAATACAACTGCTACATTATGCTACATTGTGGCTGTATGACTGTTGTAACGTGCAACAATTTGCTACGAAGTCAGGGCTATGATTGTATTCACTTGCGTAATATAAAAAAAAACTAGAATACCTGATGTATGATTCTTATATTTGTCCACAGTATGTTGTTGTATATCTGCGTGCTTGTATCTCGATCTAGTTTCTCCAACAGCCCCCCCCCCCCACCCTCCCAAGGGAAGATCCATCATTCTTGTGTCCCCCCCCCCCCACCCTCCCAAGGGAAGATCCATCATTCTTGTGTCCCCCCCCCCCACCCTCCCAAGGGAAGATCCATCATTCTTGTGTCCCCCCCCCCCCACCCTCCCAAGGGAAGATCCATCATTCTTGTGTCCCCCCCCTGTCACGTCGTTTGGGGTTTTCAATGTCTCTGTTTTCTTCTTTTACCCTGTGGATTTAAGGCCTGTCTTATACCGCTGGTTGCTGGCACTTCCTGTGTGACCTCACAACCGCCATTTTCTTTTGAAGGAAATCATATTTAGCCAGTCGTTGTATTTCCCCCTCCATAGTTCAGTGTGGGTAATGGCGTTTAGTGATTCTTCTTAGGCACACGTTGACGATAGATGTTACTCTTCTTGAGGTTTGTGTGTGAGTTTGTGTGTGTGTGGGGGGGGGGGGGGTCGGAGTTGTGAAGAGGGCAACGGTGGTTGCAATTAAAAATTAAATTTTTAAACTTAATTTATTATTATTTAATTTATTATTATTTACGTCCGCCCCCCGTCCCCTCCCCCCTGCCCTCAAATTGTGATAAAATTGATCAATGTATGCCAATACAGCATTAGCTATTGTAGAATGGATATAAACAAAGAAGCCCTTTGCGAGTGGGTGGAGGGGGTCGGGTTGGTGTTGATGTTTGACGTTCGTTTGTTATGACGGCGGTTCGACTCAAGTTCTTCCTAAATATCAACAACGAAAAATGATTTTTTTTAATTGTAAAAAAAACAACATCATCTTGTTTTTCATTGTAAACATTAACAAATTCTGCTGAATAAATTTGAGATAGAGACATATGAACAATTTAATGAATTCTTTCGCTTTCTTTTCATTCAGTAGACAAAGCTTAAATCGAAACTCTGCATTCTTGTTGTGTTTTTTTTCTGCTGATGATCATTCCCAGCCAGCAAATAGCGAACTTACCTAATTACCTTCAGACTTTAGGCATTCCTCCGACCGTTAAAATTCTGTTTGAAAACTCACCACCTGCTTCACTAATGAGCTCTCACCTTCACAGAGAGTACGCGCCGTGCGTCGAGTGAGACTGACTCGAGACAAGTGCGGCCCTCGATTCGACTCAAGAAGCTTCTTGTCCAAACAAAATGAGAAGCTGTCATTCCGATTTTACAAGCGTTCTCTTAGTCTCACCTTTAGTTGCTGTTTTTGTTTTGTGGTTTTTTTTGGTGTGTTAATAATCGTAACGGGACGGGATGGTTTAGCGGTAGAGAGCTGGACTGCTAACCCGTAAGGCTCGAGATCGAATCCGGGTTAAGTCAGTAGACCGTCCCTGAGTCCACCCAACTCTGATGGGTACCTAACTTACGTTAGGGAAAGTAACAGCTGGGCATAGTGCTGACCACACTATCTCTTCATATGCCGAGGTCACAGAAACAAGTGAACTCTACTTCACTTCCCCTATAGACCGTCAGATTTGAAAGGGAACTTTTTAAAATTATCGTAAGTAAATTTTGATCCATTTCTACCAAAAATATTTCTTTTCAAACTTTTCATAGAATAATATACCCGATGACAATGCAATGATATCTACATTACGTTGAAATTTAAAAAAAAAAAAGTTAAAGATTACTAATTACTAAAATACAATAAGTAAATGGGAAATAACTATTTTATGTGATTTAACACTGCATTTACACTTGCGACATGTAGCCTATACTATACTATACTATACATGTCAAGAAAAAAAACAAAAAACAACTACGTCGTAATTTAATTTTATCTGAACATGTATGGTAAGGGCGAGAGGGGGGGGGGGGTATTCACTTATTTATTAGTGTTTACTTTCTAGACAAGTATAGTATACATGTTACAAGAATTAATTACAAGATACATTTTGGTGACTAACTGTTTGACTGTTATAGCTTAAAATATTTTAGACTATTTTCTTATTTTTACTGCTTATAATAGCACGTTATTACGGTTTTTTACAAGAGTTGTAAAAAACAAAAGGATAGACATATGACCACTGTTTTTTAATGTAATTAGTTATAATATTGATTGAATGCAGATCTATGTATTAATTATTTCTACTTGAAGACAACGATTTTTAAAAGCTGTACAAATAGACGTTACATTGTAAACTTGTTTAATTGTTCCTTGGCTTACATAGATATCTTAATGACAAAACTACCAGTTAAGTTTCTAGAAAAAAGCATTTAGAGGAATATTTTAAAACGAAAAAAAAATGCTACATGTGTTTCGTTTTATGTGTGCGTGTGTGTGTGCGTGTGTGTGTGTGTTTGTGTATGCGTGTGTGTGTGTGTGTGCTTGAATGTTTGAAAACGTCTGCTTGTAGCAAGCTCTTCAAAGAGAGTGTAGCGAGTTTATCTTGTTGTAGCATAAAAAACAGCAGTCAAAAAACTTTTTTGTGTGCTTGTAGCTGGCCTGGTGTGTCTGAAGTTTTGCCAAAATCCTCAAGATAGACAGCCCGCCTCTGGGGGTGGGGGGTGAGGGTGGGAGAGGGGTGGGGGTGAAAGTTATGGCGGGAGTCAAGATGTGTCTTGCAGCTAGAAAGCGGTAAAACAAGGTGTACATCTAAATATATAAACATAACATTGTGTATACACACATATACACACGTATATTTTTTGAAGTGTAATATCGAATTGAACGCGTTCCACTTCTTTCCAACTTCGTATATTCATGCACATAATTGAAATGGATGACTAGAGTCCCCCCCCCCCTTCCCCTCTCCATCGAAACCCACAGACACTCCTGATAAGTAATTTGACTAGACGCGTAAACAGAGCACTCACAAGGCAAACACCCACATGCTTGAGGTACTTGCAATAGTAACAACACCCCCTCCCCCACCCTCGCCTAAAATCATTAACCCTACCTACCTTACCTACCTGTATCTAAAAACTCGACTACTCACCCCCACCCCTCCCCGCGGGTGCACGTCTACTCACCCCTCCCCGCGGGTGCACGTGCCCCTGGGTTACCTGTGTTAACCGTGAGATAATTAAAGGTGTAATCTGGAGCCGATTCTGCCAGAGAAAACGTCTTCCATCAGAATTTTCTGGAACGATCCTAAGTAATTCGATGTTGGTTTCGACCCCCCACACTTACCACCCCACTCCCCAGAAAACTTCTTCCCTCAGAATTTTCTGGAACGATCCTAAGTAATTCGATGTTGCTTTCGACCCCCCCCCCCCTTAAAAAAATTCCACCTTTCGCATGTAAGAAGTCTTACAATGTATCTATTTGAATATTACATTTTATAGATATTTTTATCGTATTGAACAAGTAGCCTACTAGGTCTTAGATATTCTAGAAATGTTTTGAACTATTCATAAAAGTTTATTTTCAAAATGTTGCAGTTTTATAACAAAAAAACAAACAAACAAAAAACAACCCAAGTATTTTTGTTGAAAAATCACAAAAACGACAACGTATTTTATGTTCACAACTTTAGAAATCTTGATTAAGTTGAAAGCACATCTACTAATTTTCTTATACTTTATACCACATTGAAATTATTGAAATCTCATAGCTATTGATTTTACTCACCGATTACTTCTAAAAACTTATATAATTTTTATTTATTTACTCACATTTTATGGTTTGACTTCAAGTAAAAAATTGCTTCAAAGAAAATTAAAGCTAATAGATAGTTTTATCCCAAAGATTAGTGTTTTATAATTGTTGTACCGTTGGCGTCGGCTAGACAATAGAGTATAATTATTGTGTCCATTAATTTTCATGTGAGTATTGATGTTAGTGTTAGGATTGGTGGTAGGGTCTGGGCTATGGTCAGGGTTATATGTAAGGTTATTTTCATGGCTCGGGATAGAGGTAGTGTTTATAATTATGATCGGGTTAGGTTAGGCTAAGGTAGCGTCAATTATACGCACAAAACTACCTTAGAAATTTGTATTTTAACAAAAAAATTGAGTAAATCATTATTATTTTATGAGTTTGGAAAACTGTTTATTCTGTGCATTAGCCCAGCCTTTCTTTACACAACTGGTGCACAATCTATATTCCCTCTTAGCTGCGCGGTTGCGCGGCCGCGCAGTAGTTTTAAACCTGCCGCGCAGTCATTTTGTAAAATGCATCTGCCTATATCCTTGTATAAGACTTATAGAACACCGCGTACACAAAATGCACGTTGCGCACTAGATTTTTATCTTTAGAGGGAACGTTGTACAGAATACCTATTTGAGTAATTTGCTGTACTTGTTTTTACTACATACAATGTCACGAAAACCATTCAGGTCAAGGGTCAAATCAATCATGATCTAAAAAGCTGTTTGTTCATTTTCACAAATGGCTTAATGGCTTTGTTCTCGATTATGAATTTAAAGAGTTTCTTTCGAGCATTTCTTGAAAGAGTGGGGGTGGGGGAATTGGGGAGAGCGTTCCTCCCAAAAAGTTTCTAATTTCTCCCCCCCCCCCCCCCCCCCCACTCACACACCCTCTCCCAAAGAAACATGTCTAAAAAATAATTTTTGCGGTAGGTCTAATTAAGAGCACATGCTGTTACTGTTAACAGTTGCCTATGACATATATATATATATATATATATATATATATATATATATATATATATATATATATATTTATATATATATATATGTGTGTGTGTGTGTGTGTGTGTGTGTGTGTGTGTGTAGGATACATTTATTTGCTTGTGTGCAGGTCTTATTGTGTGTGCTTTTGTTAATCTGGCATTATAGATGAAAGGTACATTTGCTTAAAGACAGCTTCCACCTAACGAAATATAGGCCTACTAATACTTTATAAATTACTGCAGGCCAAATTTAATTATAGTGCTAAAATCTTCCTCAGGTTCGTTTACATGAGAATGGATTACTTCCCTTAACAGCTAAGTGTGGGACCACCGGAACAGGACTGATCCACAGATACAATGTCTTCACGTGTAATTGTATCATTATTGGCATTGCCGCTGATTTTGTTTTGGATATGTTCAACCACTGATGCAGGTACAGTCACTTTGTTTTTCTTTCTAAAAGTAAATTGTAATAGAATATATGTTTTAAAAGAAAATTGTTTTATTTGAGGCTTGTTTCCTTTTAAAATATAAAAAGTCGTAGTAAGAAAACAGAAACTAAGACAGGTACACATATTCTGGTTGAATGCCAAGTGGACAATGACAAAAATCGTCTAATGCAAACTGGATAATGACAAATTTGGTAAATGACAAATTTGGCTAATGTCAACTCGACAATGACAAATTGGGTAAATGACAAGTTTGGCTAATGCCATCTCGACAATGACACATTGGGTAAATGACAAGTTTGGCTAATCCCATCTCGACAATGACAAATTGGGTAAATGACAAGTCTGGCTAATGCCATCTCGAAAACGACAAATGGTATAATATCAACTTGACAATGACAAAGTGGGCAAATACCACTTAGGAGATTTCACATGTCAGCTGAAAAAAAAATGTTGTCTCTGGCATGTATAGGGCTGGTAAGTAGGTCAATAAACAGTTCAATGGCTTATACGGTTTTTTTGAGTTGTAGAACTGGTTGGTGACCTACTTACCAACCCTATAGAGTTGGAGCGTTGAATTCAAATCAAACCCACTGATTAAATTTATGATTTCAATCTAACTATAAAGAGTAAAATCTTTTAAATATCCATTGTTTATACTGTCATTACAAAGTAAATCACAGAGTTTGACAAGATCCCTCCGATCGATATTGTTGACATGGATAAGAACGTGTTTTTGTGTGTTTTACCCTCATAACAATGACATTATATAATGAAAAATAAGAACTAATTAACATACTTTGAATACGGTTCAAATTAAACAGAAAAACACCACTTCACCTGCGTCAAGGACCGTAAGGTTTAAAAGTATACTTTACTGGAGTTTTTTTTTTAAAAGATTCGGTTAAGCTAATTACCATGGGGGCATGGGTGGGTGATGAAAACCAAAATAACCAAAATGCCTTTTTCTAAACCTAATGCTATAATATTTAGCATATAGTTATGACTCAATGAGTTTAGTCTAAATTTTTTAAAAATTCGCCGAAAATTACCTACCGTTGCCATGACTTACGTCCCCCCATCCCCACCCCTCCAGAACGAAATATAATTTATTTAGAAACTATATCCTTTTACCAGTGTCCACCCCCCCCCCCTAACACACATACAGAGATAAAGGTCTGAAAGAAACACTTGCAGTTTTGACTCTGAAACATCAATTTTCAGACTTATGATCTCTTTTTTTTTCCCCCATCCACTTCAATCCCTCATATTTCCAAACTCGGGACAATTGTTTACCGTTGTTTAAAACCTGCCAGGAACCATTTGTTGCCCCCGGGGTCCGTCCGCCTGCGAGCAGGGGTCTGGCACGAGCGAGGCAGGGTTTACTTCCTGCCCTATCTGTGTCTCAACAAACAAATCAGACGCCACGCGCCGGACCACCTGCGTCAAATATATCATAGCTGCTACACAAACACAATGTGACTAGCGCATGCGTAAACAGGAGAGGTTAAAAATAACCCGGCGGAGTCGCGTAGTAGTAAACCAAAAACAATGCGGTATTCTTATTTCCGTTTGGCCCATCTGTTTAGTGAATTCATGACATCTTCGGTGGCGGTTCAAACAGTGTGTGTGAGGGGGAGGGGGGTGATCGGTTTGCAACCCCGTTGTTGAAAAACCCCTGAATTGTTTTTAGCTAATTGTACACAATTTCCGAAAGTTATGGCTTTAAATGTGCAACAGGTTCAGATGAAGTAGAGTTCATCTGTTTCTTTCTGCTCGAAATAAATGTTGTTACAGTGTGAACAACAATATTCCCAACAGGCTTTACCTTCAGGGACTCGAATCAGGTACCCATCAGGGTACTCTTGACCAATGGACGAATCAGGTACCCATCAGGGCAGGCTTGACCAATGGACGAATCAGGTACCCATCAGGGCAGGCTTGACCAATGGACGAATCAGGTACCCATCAGGTCAGTCTTGACCAATGGACGAATCAGGTACCCATCAGGGCAGGCTTGACCAATGGACGAATCAGGTACCCATCAGGGCAGGCTTGACCAATGGACGAATCAGGTACCCATCAGGGCAGTCTTGACCCAGACGAATCAGGTACCCATCAGGGCAGTCTTGACCAATGGACGAATCAGGTACCCATCAGGGTACTCTTGACCAATGGACGAATCAGGTACCCATCAGGGCAGTCTTGACCCAGACGAATCAGGTACCCATCAGGGCAGGCTTGACCAATGAACGAATCAGGTACCCATCAGGGCAGGCTTGACCCAGTCGAATCAGGTACCCTTCAGGGCAGGCTTGACCAATGAACGAATCAGGTACCCATCAGGGCAGGCTTGACTCAGGGACTTGAGCCTGCGAACTATATTCGAGACTCTCTATTTAGATTTTCTGCCCTTGCTTTGAATGTACGTCTACCGACAGCATTAGTTTATTGACTAGTCTGTATAGGCTGGGTTATTAAAGGGGTATCACAACTGCGAAGCCATATTGTCGGGTCTCTACTTGTCCATAAGGGTTCCCAGAAAGATGCGCAGCGGAAAAAAGCGCAACGGAAAAAAGCGCAACGAAAAAAGCGCACAAAAAATAATAATTGCGCAACGGAAAAAAACCGCAAAAAAAAGCGAAAACAGAAAAAAACGCAAACAGAAATTTGCGCACACAGAATGCCTGCTTGCATACTAACATGTATGTCTTGAGAATAACATTAGTATTAAATTAGATTATATGCTTGAAGTATAAAGCGAGAATTTCTACCTTTGTTAGGACACATTAACGGCTAGAATGCCTGTTTTAAGTATAATACTAGAATATCTGCCGTATTACATTCGAATGTCGGGCTTAAGTACAACATTAGAATATCTGCTTAAAGTATAAAACTAGACAGAGGTGTACGAGGGCGGGGCGGGGGTGCGGACCGCACCGGGTGACATCATTTATGTGGGGGGGGGGGGGTAACACCATGGCAAAAAATTGTATATTGTACAGAAGCAAAACGCCTTTTTGTCAGATCCATTAATGATTAGTTTAAGCTAAATAGTCTTTTAAGTAGAAATCGACAATTATTTCAAGAGGGTGAGGGTGACACCATGACGTAAATGTGCTAACTGTAAAGAAAACAATGCTACTTCCTTCTGTATTATTTACAGATTATAGATAAACATCGTTACCGTTAAGTATGCTGTGATTAAAGCTCATGTACCCGTACGTGGCATTCATTTAAATTAAAAGCCTAGGTAGGCCGACACACACACACACACACACACACATACACACTCACACACACACACACGCACACACACACACACACACACACACACATATATATATATATATATATATATATATATATATATATATATATATATATGTGACCTAGGCTAGTTGCATCTATCCTGTTCGCAACGCCCAATGTGACCTTTCCCGAGTCTATCCTGCCCGACAACGCCAATTGTAACGAGTTGAACCACTCATGCTACACAACATCGACTACAGTAGAAAGACTCGAAGATGCAGGTTCGCTATTGATCCTTTTATTACATGAATCAAGAAATGTTTCAATATAACACAATGAATCAACAGAGATGTTTCACAATAATAGTCTGAATCAACTGACCCCTAACAGTCCTCACTAGGCTTCATATAACTGAATCCACATGTCTATTGTCCTTCTTAACACAATATAACCAACTTGGGTATGTCACCCAGACTGACTGATCTAAAGCAAGCGACGACGACGGAAGAGAGAGAACGAGTCCTGCCGTGCCCTCCTATTTATCCCTTGTATCCGTACTCGTCTCCGTACTTGTATTCCTCCGTAATCGATACTTGTACTCGATCTCCGACCACCAGTTGCGTAGTTCAAACGTACAGACCGTAAAATAACATCTGCGTCCTATCCATCAAAGTTGACAGGCCGTCTGAATACCGTTTCCCAAAATAGCACGCCTTGGCTTTGAGGTTGTTATCAGCCCGACCCAATAAGCCACCTGTTATCGGTTGCATCAGACCAACACCGTGTCTCGGCTTCTCGTTCGTTATCATTTGTAACTGGTAGTTAGGCCTACCCCAGTTACATCCACCCCTGCTTTTTTTGTGTGTTTTCAACCACAAACAACGCCTGGCAGGTGCACTCCTCCAAAGTCAATCGCACAGTCGTAAAAAAATGTATTGTTCCACTCACTATCCACGACGTTCCATTCGTATACGATTGACAGTTCTACCTATTTCACATATCAACTGTGTCTACACCATCTTTCTGAGACACAAAACAGTTCTAGAATTCACATCCACCCTTGCTTTTTGAACAGTCTGTTTTCATACCAGCGCGACCATGAAAGAATTGATGGTTGCTGACAAAAAATTTCGTATTCCTTCTGTTCCTTAAACTTCTCCGCGGACCACTTATCTGATGGTCTACCGTCTCTCTGCTTCTGGAGGGACCGGGATCCTCATTGTTGCCGGTATCCTCCCCTTGCGTATCGCTGTTGTTCTGTTGATGGTGATATGGTTCCGGAATGGGTATGTGAATTTCCGTTATAGTTTCCGGTTCCCTAATTGTCTTGGATTTCCTTGTGTGTACTTGCTCTTCTTGCCTATTCCAATATTTCTTTAATTGAGCAATATTCGCCCACCGATCCGGTTTGGCGTGATCGATGGGTCTTATCTTAAAGGGGCCACCTGCTGCTTTAGGCATCTCCACGACTTGCCATATCTCCTGTCCCCAGAGATCGTGGATTTTGTTTCTGCCTAACGGGTGGCTACGCAGTAATACCCTGTCATTCAGTTTGAGTGGCGGGTCCTTCGTCTGTATCGGCGGTTCCCTTCGCCGAGATTCATGTTCTAGTCTTTCCTGTACTACCCTGTACATTTCTCTAATTCTTCTCATATGTTCATTCACATATTCCAGTGCGGTGTATGAGCCAGTCATACTCTCCCTTTTTCCTAGGAACAAATCAAGAGGGAGT